AGGCTATTTAGTTATGGGGTCGTCACATCTCAATTGAGTATATATTGTCACATTGATTAAACAAAAAACTATTGATTTTTAATTCCATCATCCAATTTCATACCTGGGACTTTGATGGACTGAAATGTTTGTTTTAAAAAGGATCAAAAGCACAGACTTCAAATACCTACAGGCATTACCTGACTACTCAAGTGTCCAAGTTTCATCATGGGTTAGACAACAGACAGCCAAACTGAAATTAATATTTCATCCAAAGGCAACAAAACCAGCTAGCAAGCCTGTCTGAGGAGGTACAAAAGACCCTCATTCACATTTTGGACCTTGTCTACATTAATTAACAAATGGAATATAAACCTTTTTAAGGAGCTACTTTCGCCAGAGCAGACAGATGAATAGAATAGAATAGAATATCCTTTATTGTCACATGCACTCCATTGAAGAAGCACAGTGAAAAGCTTTTACAATATCTGCCTCTTATGGCACCATCTTAAGTACAAGTACCTAGGTACAAATCTTGGATACAAAAGAGGAATAAAAAGTAATTACTTTACTTACAGAGATTAAAAAATAAGCTAGAAATAAGACATTGTTAAAGGATTGACATTACAGTCAGGTAAAAAATTTCAGATAATCATAGCAGCTCAGAGCAGGCTGACCACTCGCACCAGACCCCAGTCCAACAACCATTCCCACTCTGCTCCAAGCCTCTAGTCTGCTCCGTACTAGCACTCAGCTGCTCCAAGGTAAGTCCCAGGACTGCCTCTCCCATGCCAGTCGCTGCCCGGGACCCACTGCCCTTGTGCTGCTCTGGGACTCGCTGCCCGCACCTGCCACTGCTCCTGGATTCACCTCCGGGGCTAAGGGGAGAGAAAAAGGAAAGAAAGAGGACAAAAAGAAAAAGAGAGAAAAAGAACAGGCCGAGCAAAGGAACTCTGGCAGGAGCATCTTATTCTGCTGCCATCTTGCTGAATGAAGACTAAGAATGAAGCACTGAACACAAGTTGAAACATTTTGCTGTGTCTCTCAAGAAGAAAGAAACAGCCAGTGAGCATATTGATTAAAGAAGAACAACAGAACACCCAAAACTCAAGAGATAACAGCAATATTCACTATTGCTAATGATCCTAGACACCAACTAAATGAACATGGTTTCAGGTTAAAACATATTCCCAAGGACACCCTAAGGTCTTTTTTTTTATCTCCTTTGTACTGGTCACTAGCCCCCTTTAAGTCCAATTTATGACTTTTCTGGTTTGAATAGCTGTGAGAATTTTAAAATTTGAAGCATTGACAGATTGGAGAGGTGAGGCCAGGATTATTAATCCAGAACTTCAGGCTAATATTCTGGGGAATACAGCAGATGGTGAAATTTGCATACATATAATTTTTAAAAATCTGGAATTAAAAAGCTGGCCAAATGGCAATCATGTAATAGTCAATCGTCTTAAAAATACATCTGGTTTATTAATATCTGTTAGAGAAGGAAATCTGCCATCTCTACTCAGATGGACCTATGTGTGACTCCAGAGCCACAGCAATATAGTTGACTTTTAACTTCCCTTGGGGAAACTAGGGATGAGCAATTAGGGATAAGCGATACCCACATCCCATTAACAAATGAAAACAAATGCAAGTCAGTGAGCATGGGAGTGAAGGGGGTAACATGATCTGGTGTGCAACATGTGTACTAGAGTTTTTGAATGTGTTTAGTTTATGTAAGATGGGAACTGGGAGGTCAGCCAGGAGATATTGAAAGAGACAGGGCTTAGATGTAACAGTAATGCAGACCTTTTAACAGCTGATGATCTAAGAGTGGATGGAGACTGGCAAGGTTATTGGCAGCAAGTAATCTTGGTGATGGAGTGGATATATGGTTGGAAACTCATCTCAAGGTCAAATAAGATATGAAGGTTGCAAATGGTTTGGTTCCACTGTTGTGGTTGGTTGGCTCGCCAAACTGGTTCGTTGCTTCGCGGACGTTTCATTACCCTGCTGGGTAACATCATCAGTGCAGCCTCTGACGAAGCGCTGTTGTATTTTCCCGCCTGTCATTTAAACTCTGGTGTCCAATGAGCTGGATTACCTCCCTTCTGGTTTTCCTTCACAATGGAGTGTATACAGGGTCTAGCTCAATGTGTTTATTGATGGCCTCCTTAGTGGAGTATCAGGCTTCTAGGAATTCCCGTGCTTGTCTCTGCTTTGCCTGTCCCAGGATCCTGGAGTTGTCCCAATCGAATTAGTGGTTTTCCTTATCCATGTGGATGGAGATGAGTGAGTATTGGTCGTGTCTTTTAATTGCCAGTTGATGTTTGTGGCTGCATGAAATGTCTGTGGAACAATGAACCAGCTTGGCGAGACAACCAACCACAACATCCACAACCCGAGCTACAAATCTACTGTAAAACCTTAGGTTTAGTTCCCCCTCAGACAGTGACTAGCAATAAGGGTGGAGCGATGACTAGGGAAGTGTTTGTGACAGGGATGGAAATATTTAGCTAGTGGAAATTCCCAATCATCCAAGATCAGATATTGAACAAGCAGATTCCTATTTAGAGACAGGGAGGAGTCAAGAGAGAAGGGAAGAAAGGTAAGATCTTTCTAGGCAGATGAGTTAAAATGGATATATTTATTTTCAAATGAATATCTCTAATTAGATAAGATCCCATGTTGTTGGAGGTAGCATATTGGTATGGATAGATAGTTAGCTAACAGGCAGGAAACAGCAAGTGGGGATGAGGGGCTCTTTTTCAGGTGGGCAATCTATGACCAGTGGTGTTCCACAGGGATCAGTGCTGGGACTACAACATTATATATTAATGACTTGGAGGAAGAAAGTGAATGTACTGTAACCAAATTCACAGATGACACAAAAATAGATGGAAAGGCACATTTTGAGCAGTATACATCAGCTTACAGAGGGATATTGATAGATTAAGTAAGTAGGCAAAATGTTGGCAAAGGGAGTACAATATGGGAAAATATGTTCATTTTGGAAGGAAGAACAAAAGAACAGAGTATCATTTAGATGGAGAAAAGCTGCAACACAATGGGACTTGGGGATACTTATGCATAAACCACAGAAAGCTAGCTCATAGGTGCAGCACGTAATTAGGAAGGCAAATGGAATGTTGGTCCTTATTTCAAGGGAATTGGAGAATTGGAGTAGGGAAGTCTTTCTGCATATGCACAAGATGCTTGTGAGACCACATCTGGAATACAGTGAACAGTTTTGATCCCCTTATTTAGGGAAATATATCATTTCATTGGAGGAAGTTAAGAGAAGGTTCATTAGGATGATCCCTGGTGTGGAGGGATTGTCTTATGAGCAAAGGCCAATCAGGTTGGGATTCTACTCATTTGAGTTTAGAAGAATGAGAGGTGATCTCATTGAACCATAGAGGATTTTTAAGGGGCTTGACAGGGTAAATGCTGAGAGAATGTTTTGCCTCAAATGGAGAGTCTAGGACCAGAGGGCAAGAAAGGAGTGCCAATGTAAGACTGAGACATGGAGGAATTTCTTACCTCAGAGGGTTGAGAATCTTTGGAACTCCTTACCATAGAGTACTGTGGGGGCAGAGTCCTTGTGTATATCTAGGACTGAGATAAATAGATTCTTGATCAGTCGGGGAATCAAGAGTTAAGGGTAAAGGGCAGGAAAGTGGATGGAAGGAATGTCAGATCAGCCACAATCCTATTGAATCTTTCTATTTCTTATGGTCTTATGGTCTTTTTGATCTCATCAAATTTTATAAAGAATAATACAGACAGTTACTTGGTGTCTTGGATGATCACTAATAGTTAGTGTTGTTGTTATCTTTTGAGTTACAGAGTTATAGAGTCATACAGTGTTCTGATGTTTCTTTTTAAGCACATGGCAAATCTGCAAGTTCACATGTTGCTACTAAACACTTACTAAACATAAGTTTAAGCCCTTATTCTGTCGCTTACAATGTTACACTGTCTTGATTTATTGTTTGACATGGCATTTCAAGAGCAATATCAAATTCCAATCTAGAAGATAGGAATGAGTAGAGGTGAAATAAAGCTACTGTATGTGATTGCTATCCGTCCACAATTTCTACAGTCAACCTCCATGTAAGAGATAAGCACCGGGACTATAACACGAGTTCCCTAGTTTCTTTACTGGCACTGGAAGTCATCAAAAACTTCACGTTGAAGAAATAAAAACAGAGTGCAAGAGATTAACTTACTCATATATAGCATGGTATTTGGCTGAGAAACAGCCCAAGTTTTCTTGGAAAATGAAACCCATCGGCAATTTGTAAAGACCCATTTTGCTCCTGACCTGAAGAGTGAAGAGATGAAAGATTAGTTTATCTGTTTCAATCAATGCTGTTGAGGAAAGAATGCTGGTCAGGACTCCAGGAATCTTGCTTATCAGGCAACCGTTTTTGTTTGGGGGGTGGGGGAAGCAGGTGATCCTTCTGCATGCACACAACAGACAGCTGGTGCTTCAGTATAATATCGTCACTGAAGAAGGACACCCTCTGATTGTGGTGTTCTCCATCTGTGAGGTATTAAAATATCACATGCACAAAATCCAGAGCAAAACCTCAAACTTCAGCTTCAAAAGCTGGAACATGACTATGACAGAAAGGCAAGGAGCCAGAGGACCATCTCTATTCATGAAACTGTAGAATCAAACTGTACAGAAGAGACCCATCAGCCCATCAAGGCTGTACCATCAGATAAACACTATTATCTACACTAATCCCACTTTCCTGTGCAAGGCCCATAACCTTGAATGTTATGACATTTGAAGTGCTTATCCAAGCATTTTTAAAGATTGAGGTTTCCAGTCTCAACTACCCTCCCAGGAAGTGCCTTCCAGAGCCCCACAACTCTCTGAGTTAAAACTGTTTTCCTCAACTCCCTTCTAAATCTCCTGCCTTTCACTTTAAAATAGCTTCTTTTTTCCACTTTAAAACAGTCTCTCTTGGAAGTTAAAATTCTCCCTCAGTCATATCCTACCTATCGCGGTGATTAGAAGTGCACACAGTACTCCGCCCTGTGACCTAACCAAAGTTCTGTACTGCTCCAACATGAACTCCTTGCTCTTATTATAGTTGCCTCTACTGGTAAAGGTAAGTGTCTGGTATGCCCTCTTAACCACCCTATTAACATGCCCTGCCAACTTCAGGGATCTGTGGACAAGTATCCCAAGATCCTTCTGTCTCTCTGAACTTCCTACTGTTCTGCCATTCATTGAGTATTCACTCGCTGTGTTCCTTCCTCCCAAGTGTACTTTTGATATCCAAATTACATCTCTCAACCTCTGTAAAATTCCATACATAATGCACAATTCTTAGAATTATCAACTGCCATATTATTCCGATTCACACTTATTTGACTTTTAGGTGTGTTTCATAAAATGATTTAAAAATAAAGTTGCGCTCAATTCAAACAATCTGTGATATTGGCAGCCGTTTTCCAAAAGTGAGATTTTTTGTAAAAGAAAGAGAATCTTATATATGGGCAATACAGTCTGTCTTTAAAGCACATTCTCTTCGGTAGAACCTCGTATAATTCTGACGGTGACGCAGCTTGTGCAACGGGCAGAGCCGAAGTTGGTGAGGTCGGGGTTTAGTAAAGAGCAGTTGGCTTGTTTAAAGCTGGGAGGAGGTATGTCCGGAGTCCAGCTGTACATCTCCAGTGTGTCAGCATCGAGAGAGGTAAGTGTAGCACAGTGAACACAAACAGTCCGCCGGGGGCGATGTAACTCACTAACATTTTCACCCTCTTGTTAATTTCACATTGTTAGAGACATGGCTTTTGATCACTGTTGACATTAACGAACTAAACTAACTAAATAACGAAACTAAATTACATAAACTATTATTAGTTTATTCCAAGTATTTGGGTATAACTTCTGCCAGAATAAATATAAAATTATTCGGTGAGTTCTATTTCCCGTTTAGGGGTGTATAAGATCAGGTTTCTCCATTCTCACCAATTATGATTGTTTTTGAGACATTATTAAATCTGATAAAAATGTTGAGAGGCTTCAGAAAGACATTAAAGAAAAGCATCAACCAAACTCGTGAGCCCTTCTACACTCAGTCATTTGGCAGGAGTTGTCCAGGTCCAGTAGAACCTTCTTGAGTTTAAAACTAAACGAAGGCCCTGGGATCTCTCCCTGACGAAAGGGGGCCCTTTAACATTCACATTCTCTCAGTCCAGCACAACAACATAATCACTTCGAACTCTGGTGCACTGCAGAAATCCTTTAAGTGAAACTGAAACTGTGGCAGTGACCCATCAAACTTAGAAATTCCCGGTTTGATCCCTGATGTATGAGGTTAATCGCGTTCAGCCCAATTGATCTGTCAGTCAGTAGGGGATAACACAGAGTTGGAGGAACACAGCAGGCCAAGCAGCATCAGAGGAGCAGGAAGGCTGACATTTCGGGTCTGGACCCTTCTTCAGAAATGGGGGAGGGCAAGGGGGCTCTGAAATAAATAGAGGGGGGGGTGATAGAAGATGGATGGAGGAGCAGATAGATGGAGAGAAGACAGACAGGTCAAGGAGGCAGGGATGAAGCTAGTAAAGGTGAGTGGAGGTAGGAAGCGGGGGTGGGGGTTGGTCAGTGAGGTGGGAGGAGCAGATAGGTGGGAGAGAAGACGGACAAGTCAAGGAGGTGGGGATGAGCGGGGTGCTGGTCTTGGGATGAGTTTGGGGGCAGGGAGATTTTGAAGCTAGTAAAGTCAACATTGAGACCATTGGGTTGTAGGGTCCCAAGGCAGAATATGAGGTGCTGTTCTTCCAGTTTCCAGGTGGCATCGTTGTGACACTAGAAGAGGCCCAGGATGGACATGTCGTCCAGGAATTGGGGGGGAGGGGTGGAATTGAAGTGGTTCGGGACGGGGAGGTGTCGTCGTTTGTTGTGAACCGAGCGTAGGGTGTGCTCCACAAAGCGGTCTTCTAGCCTCCGCTTGGTTTCCCCGATGTAGGGGAGGCCACATCGGGAACAGCGGGTACAATAGAACACGTTAGCGGACGTGCAGGTGAATATCTGTTTAATGTGGAAAGTTTTCTTGGGGCCTGGGATGAAGGTGAGGGGGGAGGTGTAGGGGCGGGTGTAGCACTTCCTGCGGTTGCAGGGAAAGGTGCCGTGGGTGGTGGGGCTAGCAGGGAGTGTGGAGCGGATGAGGGAGTCGCAGACAGAGCGGTCCCTCTGGAAGGCAGATAAGGCTGGGGCAGGAAATATATCCTTGGTAGTGGGGTCAGATTGCAGATGGTGGAAGTGGCGGAGAATGATGCGTTGAATCCAGAGGTTAATGGGGTGATATGTGAGGACAAGGGGAATTCTCTCTTTGTTTTTATTGCGGGGAGAGGGTGTTAAGGCTGAGGTGCGGGAAACGCAAGAGATGCGGTCGAGAGCGTTTTCAACCACTGGGGGGAAATTGTGGTCCTTGAAAAATGAGGACATCTGGGATGTCCAGGAGTGGAACACCTCATCTTGGGGGCAGATGCAGTGAAGGCGGAGGAATTGGGAATAGGGGATCGCATTCTTGCAGGAAGATGGGTGAGAGTATGTGTAATCTAGATCGCTGTGGGAGTCCAGTGTCACAACAATGCCACCCGGAAACTGGAGGCGGAAACCTCATATTCCGCCATAGGACCCTACAACCCAATGGTCTCAATGTGGACTTTACTAGCTTCAAAATCTCCCCACCCTGACCTCATCCAAAGACCACCGCCCCCTCCCCCATCTAAGCCTCCTTGACCTGTCTGTCTTCTCTCCCAACTATCCGCCCCTTCCTCCTCACTGACCAACCCCCATCCCAACTTCCTACCTACACTCACCTTTACTAGCTTCATCCCCACCTCCTTGACTTGTTCGTCTTCTCTCCCACCTATCTGCTCCACTATCCACCTTCTATCACCAACCTCCCCCTCTCTATTTATTTCAGAGCCCCTTGCCCTCCCCCATTTCTGAAGAAGGGCCCAGACCCGAAACAACAGCTTTCCTGCTCCTCTGGTGCTGCCTGGCCTGCTGTGTTTCTCCAGCTCCACATCTTGTTATCTCGGGCTCCAGCATCAGCAGTTCCTACTATCTCTGAGTCAGTAGGGGATTCTGGTTTCTGTCCAGTGATTCAGAGCATTCTCTTGTATGACACAAAAGGTAGCTCTGAGGGCCATCTTCCTTGTGTCTCTTTTTGAAAGAACTATCCATTTTTTCCCCCACTCCTCTCTCTTGTTATATAGTGCAGCAAAGCTTTCCATTTCAGTTACAACTTCAATTTCAGCTCTAATTCCTTTTTTAAAAAGTTTTTTACTGAATCTGCAGTCAATGCAATTTGGTATGGCAGATGGGTTAAGAAGAAGCTAAGAGCCCATGGACAGAGGATCAGACAGATATTGGTGTGCATGTCCATACATCCTTGAAGACAGAAGGTAGATAAGGTTAAGCAGGCTAAGGAAGCACGTGGGATACTTGTATTCAATGTCTCAACTAATAAAAACAAGAGCAAAGAACTTATGATGGAACTAGTAAGGCCACAGCTAGAGTACTATGTGCAGTTCTGGTCACAACACTATAGAAATAATATCATTGCAGTGGAAGAGGAAAAATGAGATTCACCAGAATGCTACCTGGACTGGGGCATCTAATTTACGAGAGGCTGGAGAGTTTGGTGTTGTTTTTCTTTGAGTTGAGAAGGTGGAGGGAAAACTTAATTTAGCTGGAGGTGCCTGTTGTTGGAGCGGGGTGGACAAGGACAGAAATCACACCACACCAGGTTATAGTCCAAGAGGTTTATTTGAAAACACAAGCTTTTGGAGCCTTACTATCTCACTCTAACATCTGAGGAAGGAGTATCAGACACAGAATTTATAAGTAAAAGATCAAAGGGTCAGACTACTGATGAGGATGTACTAATCAAACCAATATGCTGTTAAATCTTTAATCTGTTAGAAGGTTTTAATTGATTAACTGGTTAAATATTTAATCAGTTAAAACCTTCTAACTGATTAAAGATTTAACAGCATCTTAGGTTTTAGTACATCCTTATCAGTGGTGTGACCCTTTGATCTTTTACTTATAAATTCTGTGTCTGATACTACATCTCTCACGAACACCTGAAGGAACAGAACGGCACTGAAAACTTGTGTTTTCAAATAAACCTGTTGGACTATAACCTGGTGTCATGTGATTTCTGACCTGATTTAGCTGTTCAAAGTATTGAGGAGTATAAATAGGATAGAGAGAGAGAGAAACTTCTCCCCTTAGCCAAGGATACTTAACCAGGGACCATAGGCCATAAAGACAGAAGGAGACCAATCAGCCCACACAGTATGCTCCACCATTCAAATGAAATCATGGCTGATCTGATAATCCTCAACTCCACTTTCCTGCCTTTTCCTCATATCACTTGATTCCTTTATTGATTACAAATCTTAGTCTTAAATATTTTTAATGACCCAACCTCTACAGTTGTCCGTGGTAAAGAATTCCACAAATTCACTACTCTCATAAGAAATTCCTCCTCATCTGTTTTAAAAGGGCGACCTCTTAATCCTGAGATTATGCCCTCTGGTCCTGGACTCTCTGTTCAATAAGATCTTCTCTCATTCTACTAATTTCCAATGTATACTGGCCCAACCAACTCAACCTGCCCCAACAGACAACCCCGCATATCTGGGATCAACGTTCTGAATCTTCTCTGCACTGCCTCCAATGCCAGTTTATCTTCCTTAGGTTAGGGATCAAGATTGTTCACAGTACTCCAGCTGTAGTCTAATTAGTATCTTGTACAGTTTTAGCAAGACCTCACTACCTTTACACTCATTCCTTTGAAATAAAGGGCAACATTCCATTTGCCTTCCCCATCACCTGCTGAACTTGGATGCTAGCTTTTTAAAACTTAAGCTCCCAAATCTCTCTGTGATGTAACCTTCTATAGTCATTCTCCATTTGAATACACTTCCTGCCAGAGTGCAGAACCTCACATTTTGCAACATCATATTCCATCTGTCTGGCAAGTTTTTGCCCATTCACTTAACTTGTCTATATCTCTCTGCAAACTCTTTGTGTCATCCTCCCAACTTCTGACCTCAGCACTGATTCCTGTGGCACTCCACTGTTACAGGTTGCCACCCTGAAAATGACTCCCCTTATCCCAACTCTGTATTTTATTAGTTAGTTAATCTTCTATCCATGCTAATATACCATCTCCAATACCATGGGCTCTTGTTTGATTATGTGAGTAAGAAGCAGGACATCTAGGAGGAGATTTGAGGAAAACAAGCACTCAGAGGATTGTGCTTGTGTGTAACTAATTGGCTAAAAAAGGTGATGGAGGCAGGAACATTTAAAAAGTATCAAAATGAGCACTTGAAATGTAGCGTGCATGGCTATAAGCTAAGTGCTCGAAAATGGGATGAGGCTAGTTGTTTGATGATTGGCATGGACATGATGCATCAAACGTCCATTAAGACTGAAAAATCCAGGTGGTAACAATTTTGCTGCATGATTTCCTCTCCCACCCCACCTACGTATTACCTTTAGTTCTTTTGTCATTTACAAATCTATAACCTTGTTATCATTTGCAGTTTCTAAACTTTTGCTAATATTGAACAATCTGCTGTAAGAACAACTCCTCCAGGGCTCTTTGATGTTTTGCATAACTGACCTACTGATCCCAATAGCATTTCAGTAAATCCTCACTGCATCTTCTAAGACCCACCATCCTTCCCAAGGCCTAGTGCACAGAAGTGGCTACAATTAGCTATCAGCTAACCTATTTTAAACAGGCTTGCAGTAACGTCTTTGCTTTTGTGCTCTTTTGGTTAGAAATTAATCTCAGGCAGTTGCATAGAGTAGGTAGTATTTGAGAAGCCACTTAAGTTATGCAGCACGTTGAATTTCTTTTCAGTTATTTCAGTTTATTTATGGGATGTTGGTGTCACCAGTTAGGCCTGCATTTATTGCCCATCACCAGTTGCCTAAGTGGTGGCAGTGGTGAGCTGCCTTCTTCAAACACTGCATCCTTGGTGTGTAACTACATCCACATTGCCATACAGGAGGTAGTTCCAAGATTTTGACCCAACAACAAAGCAACTGCAATAAAATTCTAAGTCAGGATGGTGCACAGCTTGGAGTGGAACAAGCAGAGCATCACTTCTGTATCAAAGATTAATTGTAAAGAAGGTTGTAACCACACCCTCTGCAATTTCCTCTCTTACTTTCCTCCTCTCATTGAGTCATAGAGGTCTACAGCACAGAAAAAGGTCCTTCAGCTCATTGTTGTTTTTGACTGACAGACTCTATTATAATCCCATTTTCCAGCATTTGGCCCATAGCCTTGTACACCTTGGCATCACAACTATACATGTAAGTATGTCTAAAATGTTATGAGGATCTCTGCCTCTACCACCCTTTTTTGGGCAATGAATTCCAGACTGCCACCAACATTTGAGCGAAAAGGTTTCCTCACATCTCTTATAAACCTAATCAGAGATAGTGGGAACTGCAGATGCTGGAGAATCCGAGACAACAAGGTGCAGGGCTGGATGAACACAGCAGGCCAAGCAGCATCATAGGAGCAGAGAGGCTGACGTTTCAGGCCTAGACCCTTCATCAGAAAAGGGGGAGGGGAAGGGGGTTTTGAAATAAATAGGGAGAGAGTGGGAGGCGGATAGAAGAGGAAACAAACAGGTCGAAGAGGCGGGGATGGGGCCAGGAAAGGTGAGTGTAGGTAGGGAGTTGGGAAGGGGATAGGTCAGTCCAGGGAGGACGGACAGGTCAAGGGGGCGGGATGAGGTTGGTCGGTAGGAGATGGAGGTGTGGCTTGAGGTGGGAGGAGGGGATAGGTGGGAGGAAGAACAGGTTAGGGAGGCAGGGACGAGTTGGACTGGTTTTGGGATGTGGTGGGGGGAGGGGAGATTTTGAAACTTGTGAAATCCACATTGATACCATTGGGCTGCAGGGTTCCCAAGCGGAATATGAGTTGCTGTTCCTGCAACCTTCGGGTGGCATCGTTGTGGCACTGCAGGAGGCCCAGGATGGACATGTCGTCTGAGGAATGGGAGGGGGAGTTGAAATGGTTCGCAACTTATAAACCTGTTGCCCATTACCTTAAAATCATGCCCCCAGTCATTGATCCCTCTATCAATGAGGGAAGCTTTTCTCTGTCTATGCCCCTCATAAATTTACACATCTCAATATGCCACCCCACCCCCTCAGTCTCCTTGGCTCCATGGAAAACAATCCCAGTCTATCCCAACTCTCTTCCTAACTGAAACTCTCCAGCCCAAGCAACATCCTGGTAAATCTCCTCCATATCCTCTCCCATGCAATCACATCTCAACAAGTTTGTCCATCTTATAATGCAGTGTTGAATCTTGTGCATTTACCCAGGTAGAGAGAAACCCCGCCAGCAATTCTGGTATCACTACATCTCAAACCCAGGTTAATTTCTGTACCATTCATCTGTCATTAGTAGCTACCACAAAAGGTAGACTTTCAAGTGGCATATTCCTAGAGCAAGTGTGGTTGTGTGCACATACAGGTGTGGTGATGGGGCATTGGAGGCAGTGGCTGTGGGATAATAATGGAGAATTTAATGTTTATCATTTTCCTCTATCTTGAAGACACTCTTTGCCAACCAGACCAGTTTCACACATTATAATTTTGAACTTATTATGGAGACATAATTTCACATGCACTCTGATAAAATTTAAACAGGAGTCATTTGCCTACGTTGCCTTTGTACTTTTGTTTATCGTACCTATTTGCTTACTATCCCTACAATGGGTATTCTCTCAGGAATATTTTGAATAAATCACCATTTCAATAGGGCAGTTTTTGTTGACTACCCCCATGTTTCTTGTAAGAAACAAGACAGCAAGATCGTTGCTAAACATTTTCTTGCCTACCAATGATTGACCTACTTGCTTTTAATGATAAAGTATTTGTTGGTGATAGTTATTGATTCCCAGAAACTAGCCACTATACCTATTCAGTGAACAGAAGTAGCATCACAATGGTTTTATCTTCCTGCAGGTATAGGGATAGCCACAGTAGCAGATGTACAGTAGTTCTACTCACTGCTGGGAACTTTATGCCTTTGAAGAAACTATTTTCAAATCAGCCTGGTCTGAGATGTTATTCCACCCCTCTGCAGCAGCTGAGACTTGAACCCATACCTCCTGGCTCAGAAGTAGGGATACTAGTGATTGGGCTCCAGCTTATCCAGCTCTTAAATGCAGGGGCTAGAGGTACAGAAATCAAATCCATCTTTCCGTTTGTCTCTGGACTTGGCTGGAAGACCAATGAGGGCAATAAGAAGGTCAAACTAAGTAGAGGCAGCAAGAACTGCAGATGGCTGGAGTCAGAGATAACACAGTGTGGAGCCGGAGAAACACAGCAGGCCAGGCGGCATCAGAGGAGCAGGAAAATTGATGTTTCAGGTCAGGACCCTTATTCAGTAGAAAGCTCCTCTGATGCTGCCTGACCTGCCGTGTTCCTCCAGCTCCAAACTGTGTAGAGGCAGCAACTTCGAGATAATAAGAACTGCAGATGCTGGAGTCAGATAATATATTCTGGAAGTGGAGGAACACAACAGGCCAGGCAGCAACAGAGGAGCAGGAAAGTTGACATGGTGGGTCGGGATCCTTGTTCAGAAAAAATGGGCAGCAACTTCCTCCTTTTTTGAAGCACATCCATAAATCAGTTCTGTATTAATCCAGGAGCCTTAGATAATAACAATTTTCTGGTGTTAGCTACAAATTTATCAGAAGTATTGCATTTGACTTCAAATTTAAATTATGGTAAACTTTGAGCTCAAGGTGAAAGTTTATTACCATATTATTAGCCACACCTGCTGCTAACTAATCCCTCAGAACCTGATCTACAAAGGAAATCAGCTGCACTGTAGAGGGGCAAAAAAAGTCCCTAAAGGTACAAGGGATAATTGCACCTTACAGTGTTGTGCTGAGTCATTCACAACAGGCTAACACTACGTTTAATGCTCCTGTACCTAGCACTAACAGACTTCAATTCAATATTACACATAAAGGCAGAAAACTTATAATATTACAACAAATGCATTTTACACTAGTGACACTAGGACAAATACTCCAGGAAGTTTAGTTTTATAAAACAAGCCTGTCTTGAATTAAACTTAAGGGTTTATCATTCTTCAGAGAACGTTGATACTATAACATTGCTGCCGAGAAACTGTATACGTGGGATGTCTCTGGATGATAAGTGCCAAAGATGATTTTCTATTTTAGTTCTTAGTAGATTCTTCACTGGTCCTAGGTCAGATCTCAACAGGCAGAAGTGGAAAGAGTGCTAGAAATAAAACGAATAAAGTACAAATTGATAGATGTTTCAGTCAGTGAAGAAATCTTGGAAGAAATGAGAAACAGGACAGGCAATCCCACAGCTCTTCCACCACAAATATTCAATGACGATTTTTACTGCGGGGTAAGAGATCTCTAATTTGTCGCTATAACCAATGAAATAGAACATGGAAAGTAAATTTTTGTTAAAATCAATGTCGGAACAAAACATCAGATCTCAGCTTAAAATTCTCCTGTCTGGTAACTTTAATGATCAGATGTAGATAGGATACATCACAAGCTTCTGAGAATTGTAGATTTTGAAACCGTGGAGGCTGTAACCACATTATACAAATCCTCCTCAAGTTTTTGGGAATGATGCCAGAAGATTGAAGGATTGCAGCTGTTACAGGCCCCATCGAAAAAGAGCGATAAATCCCGTTACTGCAAGTCAGTTAATCCACTGTTAATGGCAGCGCAACACACGTACCTACATGCACAAGGCTGAAGTTTGCAAAACTCGGAAATGCAGTAAATGGGGAGGACAGGATGAAACCAGACAAGGACAGGTGCATGATGGTCTGGTGATTAATGTTTAAATCTTCACCTGATCATTAGATGTAGCTCTGCCGTAGATCACGCACTTGCTAGATCTTAATGTAACCACATATTTCAAGGTCAAATATTGGTCTATGCCGTTGGCCAAACCACACAACTAATTTCAGGCCTACTAAAGGAGCAACAGAGAGAAAGAAAAATCAAGCATTTCTCTGTCCCCAAATGACTTCTGCTTAAAAAGTTTTGATGGCAGCTGAGGCCACATTAAGTTTAGCTCTGATGTTCCTAGGGCTAGCTTGCCCTGTATTGTCCATTCCTCTCACATGTGGGTACTATAACAATGTGCAATGGCAAATTTGAATCAGGCCCACCTTATCAAATTCATAAACAAGAACATAAATTGGTGGAAAAGCTCAACAAGTAGGGAAGCATCTGTGAAGAGAAATTAGATTGTTTCAGGTCGACCCTGAAGAAGGATCACTCGACCCAAAAGTCAACTCCGATTTATCTTCACAAATGCTGCCCGACCTGCTGAGCTTTTCCAGCAATTTGTTTTTGTTTCCGATTTAGAGCATCCACGGTTCTTTCGGTTCTTATCAATTCAGGTTCTGGAAATATTGAACAGTTCTCAGTGAAAGGGACGGAGAATACAGGGCATGACTATTATATAAATCGTGGGATGAAACAAGCTCATTACTGGTTTTACTCAGCACGTATACGAATCGATGCGTTTAATATTGTTCCAACAGCATAAACATTATGTGTCGAAACGGTATTGAACCAACATATACGGGCATTGTCCTACTAATTGAGAAACACGTTGTAATTAATCCCCCACTGGTACACTTATTAGGGGTTTACACACGTTGCAACTGATTTGTGACAGATTAGGGATCAACAATGGGAGTGGAGACTTTGGTGGGCAGGAGCAATGGAATGAGGGTACTTCAGGTCACGCAAGATAAAGTCATGAGCCCCAGTGGAAATCTTCTCAAGAATCCAGAATTTATGTAATGAACACATTTACGTTTCTGGCAGCCAGAACACACTGACTATACCCTGCCCATTACATAGACAGTGAAAGTGTTTACTGTGTTTGAACATTTATAGAAGCACATGCATAAGTTAGAGCAATTTGACAAGTCTTTTTTTGTAAAAAAAAAAATAGGATTACTGGGAGTTTTATGATGCTGTGGAGAATGAAGAGATTGATCACTTCTTAAAACTGAAAGAGAAAGAGCAGTTAGACTGTAAAATTTCAACCGACTGCAATGAAAATTATACTGCGAAAAGCTGATTCAACACATGCTGCGTTGCACAACTGTGTTCATTTTCTGGTAAATACTTAGTCGGTTTGATAAAACAATACAATTTAAAATCACAAAACGTTGTATTTAGCTGTATTGACGATCAGTCATGACAATTAAAACTGCCCTAATTGTTGTTTTTAAATAAATGAAGGTAGAAGTGGGCACTTGAAATAACTAAACTTGCACAGTTACAGAGCTGGAATCGGTGTGATTAAATTGCTCCATAACAAGCTGGCAAACAGCAATGGCCTACGTGGCCTCCTTTTGTGACATAAATGAAACTGGGCGCCAGAGTTGGAGGAAAAGATCTCTTGAACGGTTGTAGGACTGGCAGAACTCTAAGGAATAAGTTTGAGAAGGTTTTTTTTAATTAAGAACCGCACACAAGCTGTGCATATCACTAGTAACAGCAACAGTTGGACTTTGGTTCTAGTGCACTCGTTCGCAATCGTCTTAACCTTAGGAGAAATGGCAATGTCTCTACTAAGTAACATGTACACCATTCTTCAAAACAGACAGTAGCTAGAAAAGGGCAGTGTTTATGATGATGTGGGGGTGAGAGAGAGAGTGAGCAGATAAGTGGATACAGAGTACCTAGAGAGACGGAGAGTGAGAGAAAGACAGTTAGGCAAAGAGATGGCTGATTGTAAACCAGGGAAGGAGACAAGTTGATACTGGGACAATGAGTAGCTGAAAATGGGCTGGCTGTTCTGAAAGCAGCTCATAGCAGGACAAGGCCTGGAGTGAGGGGTGGGTAAAGGACAAGGAAGGTGCTCAGGCTTAAAATTATTGAACTCCATACCGAGTTCTAGAGGCTGCAGAGTTCCGACGAGAAAATAAGGTGCTGTTTTTCCTTGTACTCAACCTTACCATAGCACTGCAGCCAACTTGAGACATGGCCAGGGAACAGGGTGGTGTGGCAAAGCGGTGGGCAGCTGGAAGCTCAGGGTCATTTTTACAGACAGAATGTAAGTGTTCTGCTGCCTGGCCTGCTGTGCTCCTCCAGCTCCACAATGTGTTATCTACAAAACAACCGGTGTTTCTTCTACCCAAATGTAGAGTGGACATGAATGCAGTAGGCTGGATTGAGTGATGTGCAGGTAAATCTTAGCTTTATCTGTACAATGAGTCTGGGGCCTTGGATATAGAGGAGGGAGGTTGTGAACTGGCAAGTATTACACCTTCCGAGACTGCACGGGAAAGTGCTACAGGGAGGTGTGGGAACATGTTGGGAATGGAGTAGTAGTGGACCAAGATGTCCAGTAAGGAACAGTCCCTGTAAAAGACGAAGACTCTGCAGCAATTTCTGTTTCAGATCTTCAGCATTCACATTTCTTTAATAAAACAAAGCAGAATGGAAGACTCATTAAGACAATTAAAAAATTTCTTTTAAAAAAGTCACCAGAATTAGTAACAGGCCATTATTTGCTGTCAAAAAAGGGCAAGGATATAACGTGCCCTTTTTTATTTATTCATTAAGAGGACATAGGCATCACTGGTTAGCCCAGTATTTATTGCCCAGAGGGCAGTTAAGAATGAACTGCATTGCTGTGGATCTGGAGTCACACGTAGGCCAGACCAGGTAAGGATGGCAGTTTCCTTCCCTAAAGGACATTAGTAAACCAGATTGGTTTTTCTGACAATTGACAATGGATCCATGGTGATCAGACTCTTCATTCCAGATTTTTATTGAATTCCACCAGCTGCCATGGCAGGATTCAAACCTGGGTCCCAGAATATTACCTGGGTCTCAGGATTAACAGTCCAGTGATAACACCACTAAGTCACTGCCTCCTAACATTATTGATGCATTAATATAACAGCAACTTTGGATAATGGACAGAGGGATGAATGAGCTCAAAAGCTGATGTCCAATTTGTGCCATTCTGTTTCAGCTGTTGAAAAGACAGCAGGCAACACAATGCCTTTTTTACAAAGCTAAAGAGCTTCTGAATTGCATGGTCAATGTGAATCAAATCCATGAAGTTAAAACCTTGTCCTTTTCAATCGAAGTAACCATTTAGTAAGGTGGTAGATGTTAATTACTGCAAGTAAGCCATAATGGTGCTGAAAATTAACTGCTACAACTATGGAGCCTTTGTTCAAGGTTCAATTCTGCTTGAGAATTAAATACTGTGAGATTTAATGTAATGTTTTACTTCTTTATTTCCTTTCTCCCTCCCTCTGAATTCAATTGTTCCCTTCCCCTTCCCCCCTCAGTTTGTTTCCTTACCTGATTTAGCATTAAATCTTCTCAGAAATTAATGTACAATTTCTTTCCAGTTCTTCGCTGTTCATTACACAGTACGTCAATCAGATTCCTTAAAAAAGAAACCGTTGCTTACTCTGGTCACTCAGGTTCTTATTCTCACTATCACTATTAACTCTCACTTTCAGCAACTTAATAGTAAAAAAAATCCAAGGAACATCTAATTAATGGCAGACACTGATAAATGCCATCTCACAGCAATGATATTTTTGAACTCGGATGATACCACTTTAAGAACTAGATCTGTGTTACATCTTTGGACCAAGATCACATGATCATTCATACGGAAAACACTACAAATGAGAAAAATGCATCTAGTTCTTAATTGTTTACAAAATTCTGTTCAAAATTCATGTTTTTTTTCTTTATTCGTTTGCGGGATGAGGGCATCGCTGGCTAGGCCAGCATTTATTGCCCATCCCTAATTGGCCAGAGGACAGTTAAGAGTTACCCACATTGCTGTGGGTCTGGAGTCACATGTTGGCCAGACCAGGTAAGAATGGCAGTTTCCTTCCCTAAAGGACATTAGTTAGCCAGATGGGTTTTTCCTGACAATTGACAATGGATTCATGGTCATCATTAGATTCTAAATTCCAGATATTTTATTGAATTCAAATTCCACCAGCTGCCGTGGTGGGATTCGAACCTAGGTCCCGAGATCATTACCTGGGTGGTTGGATTAACAGTCCAGTGATAATACCACTGGGCCATCGCCTCCCCATTGTATGCAATAATCTATATAAATAAGTGAACGATTCACCAAAATTTAATTAAGAGGACAAAGTTACAGTGCAGTTGTACTGGCATGAATCCAACATGAAGAGCAAATAATAGTTGGGTGAGTTTACTATGTTGGAGGCTGTGCTGTTAGATCAGTTAGCTCCTTGTTCTGCTGTAGTTACCTTTGCATTGAGAAAAATGACCGATTTTTCGGTTTGTTTAATTTCAAAGCTGTTAAAGCTCACTTTCAGGCTCAGTAGGTGAAAGTACTTCCTTAAACAAAATTAAAAATCAGGAGAGATTCTCAGGTTTCATTCCCTCTGTACAGGGAAGCAGACAAGCTCTATCACAGTAGCACTGGCCGCTGCAATTAGTCTCATTGTCTTAGGTCAAGGAATGGAAAAAATCTACTTATGTTCTTGGCTCCAACTGTCATCCACAGGACTCATTTATTTATTTCATATTGGCTGAAGAGCAGAAGGGACACAGCTGTACTAATCTTTGTGTAAAACACTCTTACAAGACTTGTGCATTAGGAACTGCATTTAATAAGCCTCGGGAGAAGTCAGAATTTGTAAAAACTTACCATGCTCATTTTAGATAAAAGAGAATGAGGCTTTAGCTGATGGTAAAACTATTATGACTTTGCACATTATAATATAAGTGAACATTTAAGATGCTTTCAATGGAACATGACATTAAATTGGAATTGCTGAAAGAAACAGTAAATGAAAGGACGAACTGAATTGAATCTAGAATGAGCAAACGTTAGATGTTCCCCATCTTCATTTTGCTATAATTCCCATATTGACGCAATGAGAATATTGATCTGAATCCACAGAACAAGCCTGTTACCACAAATAGAGGTGCATCTGAAAACATTCTGCTGGTGGTCAGGGACTCTTTAGACCCCAGAGAATTAAAGTTATTGAAAAATGCTTACATTTGTAACTGTGTTATCTAAATACTTTTAAACACACACAGAAAGGAAACACACTGATGGGTACAACATAAATATAATTGCTGGGTGCAAAGGTATTTGTAAAGCTTTGAATGATCAAATGTTTTGGCGATAAGCACTTAGGAACAGAGCAGGGCAAAGGAGTAGGTTGGTTATTACAGCTTTCAGACATGGGAATAAAGAATATTATGGCTACATTTCAGAAGCAGCTAACAGTCGCATCATTCCACCAATTCAAATTGATGTGTGTGCCAGGCAAAAGCCTCCCAAAAGGAGCACCAGTTACACTCTAATGAAAAGTGGTAATATAACATGGGCTATCTTCCATGGGAGAGAGATTCAAGAATGGCCAAAACATCTACGTTGAAAGGTCGTGAGAAAACTGACAGCAATCAAATTACTTCCGTGGTATATAGCACTAATGCATTCTCCTTTTCAATCTGATTTAAAATAACTGAAAGTGGATGAACAGCCATTTGTCTCAGAATCCTGTGGAGAAAACTGAAATAATATGCATGATGTTGGACTTCAAACTGAGTAATGTTAGTTCCCAGTTTGCATTGTTATTCTCCAAGACTCTATGGTTGGAGGCTAAATCAATACAAAAATGCACAAGAGGCAGCAAATCTAGGGATAATCCTAACTTTGCTGGGTAGTAAGCTCAGTCTTGTAGATTTGCTATTCATTAAGTGAAGGTCTGATTTTAACAAACCAGCAAGAGACACAACCAGCAAGCTATTCACAATGTTGTGGTTATTGTCCACCAACGCGAGTCAAAATATCAAGTTAAATCATCACCCAACACTGCCAACTTTAAAACTAGATGAGGGGCATGTGCACAAGCAACCATGTATTTTGGTGAATCAAATTTATGCGCTCATCCTTCCTTTAATATAAACTAAAAAAAATAAGAACTGTCTGGTAAGAATACTCGGTGAGATATTTAGCTCATACCCTGAAAAAGGATAGAACTGTATTCCAGGTGTCCTTCTCTCAAATAAGCAGACTTCAATTCACAACAGTCACATGAGACTGATTAGAATAGTACACACAATACACAATGGAACAAAGAGCGACCCAGATTTGTGTTTTAAGATGGAAATGGTATCTGATGACTAGTTCTGGATCTCGGGATGGACATTTGAACCCCTAAGAAACTGAGAGTCAGTCAAGTCTTTCCAGGGAAGTTGCAGTTTAACTTAACCGATTTCTTCTGTTTAAATACTGATGTAACACCAAAATGCTCTACTAAAATGAAATAAATCAGGCGAGGGGAGAAAAGAATAAAACAAGGAGTTTTTTTTTACAAAAATTCATTGCATCATTTACCAGTAATAACTCTCCAACATTCACAGTAACTGTTTTCAGTGAAAGGAACACTGGCAAAAAAGAAGGAAATAGAGGCAACTTGGCATAATTGAGACAATGAGGCAAAACTTCGCAAACATTGGCAGTTCTTATGCTGAAGGTAAGCTTCGATTTAAAGCTTCAACTGGCAGCTTCAGGGAGGAAAGTTTCAGGTGTTAAAGGGGCGTTTAACCATGCCATATTGTGGGGAGTGCCTAGATCAGCTTACAAAAACCCAAATTTTGCTTCTACAAAGTCCATTTGTTCAAGCATATAATCAGCTAACCAACTACAAACAGAAGGACAAGGTTGATGTGGATCAATATTTATAAGAAAAAGAGTAGATGTTCCAAGGCTACTCCTTTGTAGAAATCCATGTCTATTTTTGAACTGCAGAACTTCTTGGGCAATGCCAACATTTTTATTGAGGTTACCACAGGTGGTGTAATGTTCACGTTCTTCCACTTATGATTTTTTTGCAAGAGCTTCAGCTTCCTAAAAGAAGAGAGGGGTGGAGGATGGGGGAGGGGGAGAAGAAAAAAATGGTTAATTAAACACCAGTATTGATATCAAAGATATCAATGCAGTTTCCACTGCAGCCACTTGTTATGCAGTAAGCCCATCAATACATTTAACAAGTATATTCTCCCAGCAGAACAGGAATCCAAACTTATTGTCATGGAGAGCAATTCTTAATTTGTGAATAAATTCTTCTGATTGTATGCTGTGTGAAAACAACAGTGAACATTTAAAAATTTCACATTTAATTAGATCCAAACATCCAGTCTAATAATTGCAATATTTGGGTCTGGGCACAATAGGATGTATAGAGAGGGGGCAACATCCTTTGACCAGATACTTCAATCCCAGCAAAAAGGTTCTTCAGTGTTATATAGATACACCTACACAATCTTGAAAGTATTGATTAATATAGAGACTGCTCCCATTTGAAGTAAAATAACATTGAAATATATTGCATTTCACAAATGGACAACTTAAAAATTGCTTTTACATGCTATCCATTTTAACCCTTGTGAAGATCCAGTTTAAACACTATTTACAGTAAGGGAAATCATTATGTGGATTAAAAAAGTAGGATTCAATAATTATACCTAAAAGTCAAATGTCATTAGCTCCAGCAGTGATAGATCTTAAGAGATTATTAAAATAGAGCTATTAGGCAGATAGGTAGCTGAAGAACAAAAGTTACATTATTCAGTACTACATATCTGGAGCCCATGACGCTAGGAAGCTTGGAAACGAAACAGAGAAAGTAAATGCACAAACTTGGGTGAGTACAGTACAGGCACAATATGCAATACAAGTGCTAACATGCTGTGCAAAGCCCAATTTAAATGTTTCACACAAAAAGAAGTTCTTCAAATATCCAAGTGATTATTAATGAAGGGAAATAGAAAAATTGACAGCCAAATAGCTATAAGCACCAATTAAGTCCAAAAACTCCATTCCAGCAGATTATCCCTGGTGATAATGATGAAACTCAATGAAAATAAGTCATCTACAATACAAATTCAGAAACCAAAACTCTTCAAACTGAGGACGTTTGGTGAGATTAGTCAATATTACGTAAACTTTACACTCAGTTTGTTAGTGGCCTTACAGTTAAATTGATATACCACCCACTAAGGCTAGTTATCATCTCAGGTCCAAAAAGCAATGTCAACAGGCAAATCAATAATTTTGCATGCTTGGTCTGAATGCTTGAATTAAGTATACACTCTGGTTACCTTAACCCCTACAGATGAAATGATATAGAAGCATAAAATTTTTTTTAAGATTCATCCACTTCATCCTCTTCCTATTTAACAAATAAAGAAAAAGTGAAAATAAGCACAAGGCAAATGATTGCAGTATCACAGACTTTACAACACCAGCACAGAAAACACCCTTCCGCCCACGGTCCCTGCATCGATTATCCAGTATCTAAGTAACCTAATCCCGTTTTCCAGCACTTGTAGTTATGGTATGTTATGGTGTTTCAAGTGCTCAACAAAATAATTCTTAAATGTTATGGGAGTGCCTGCCTCTGCCCACTCTTAGGTAGTGGGTTCCAGATACCCACCATCCACTGTGTGAAAACAAGTTTCCACCCTCAAATTCCCCTCCAAAGCTCCTGCTCCTTGCCCTAAAACTGTTCCCTCCTGACTATTTTCTCCACAGTAGATGGATCAAGTTTCTCCCTATCCATGCCTCTCAATTTTGTATACATCAATCCTCCCCCCACCCTTCCTCAGCCTTGAGGACAACAAACCCAGCCCCTCTCTCTCTCTCTCATAGCTGAATCACTCTCGCACAGGGAGTATGGTGTTCAGAATATTACACAGTACTTCAGCTGGGGCCTAACTGAATACAAGAGCAAGGCAGTTATAATTAATGTGTTGACTAACAAAGGCAAGTACCCCACATGCCTCTTAAGCACCTTATCTACCTGTCCTGCTGCCTTCAAGGACATGCACGCCAAAGTCCCTCTGATCCTCTCTACTTCCTAGGGTCCCACCATTCATTATGCACTTCCTTGCCTTGTTAATCCTCCAAAAATGCATCACCTCTCATTTGTCAGGATTAAATTCCATTTGCCATTGTTCAGTCTATCTGACCAGCCCATCTATATCATCCTGTAGTCCAAGACTTGCCCCCTAGCTATTTACCTCACCAGCCTTACCTGCTTTAAGTTCTACTAATTTCACAATCACAATAAAAAGGAGCACATAATCACTAGCACCATCTATTGACATAATTTGAGAGACGTAGATGTGTGGACAATAGTTCTGCAGAATTTAATTAAAGAGGTTATTAGTGCTAGTCAAAACTCTCCTCAATACATAGGTTTTAATCATTTAAAATAAACATCTCTGAAATACAACACAACAAAAGGTTATGAAAATAGTTTGATAACCATTTTGAAATTTCTATTTGTTATAATTGGAGAAGGTTATGCAAGTACCTCAGTTACTGGTTGTTCTTCATCCTCCTCCTAACACATTAGAGGGGTACATGTGGAGGATGAGAAAGAAAGTGGAAGAGGAAGAAAGAAAGAAAGAAAGAAAGAAAGAAAGAAAGAAAGAAGGACATGTCTTAATTTAAAAAAAACACAAAACAATGAAGTGTGGAAAACATCCTGCAACAGAACCAAAGAAGAATTCAGAATGTGAAGAACAGAGGCAAGGAAGTAATGAATAAAACTGCAATAAAAAGGAGATAATGGATGTGGATAGAGTATTCTAATATTCGCTTTAGAAAGAGACTGATGCCACAAACATCTAGTTCCATCTAATTCCCTCAAAAGCACAATCAAACTTTCCATGTTGCAAACAGGGAAAGGTAGGGCTCAGATGAATGCTTAAAAGTATTTGATTGTAAAAGAAAAGATTTGAACAAACTGAATGGTTTGTTAACTATGGCTCTGCTTTGATTTTCAAGCACATTGTTCAGGAATACTCAAGTATTCCTGAAGTATTCCTACAAGTCTAGTCTTGCAATTAACTTAAGTTTGCAAGCTGATAATATTGGGGGGGGAATGAAAGTTACAAAGTTACAAACACAAGGCAGACAATTCCTAGCTATCCCAGAATAGGAAAGTCAATGATTTCTATCCTAGTATATTTAAAACACTTTTTGTGATAGACTGGTGGCTGAGGCAGGTGTGCAAGCTTCATCATTGAAATGGAATAATTTGAGATACAGTACTTGGATTCTTCAGGATTGATACTTTTTTCCACTTTTAGTGTGACTTACTGAGCAATCAGGACATGGAAATGTAATCCTTGCTAGTCTGTATGAAGTAGGATTTAAATCCATGTTGTTAAGCAATCATCAGGGAACCTTAAACTTTAATTTCAATCCCATTCTTTCTCCATTGAAGGATAATTATACATACGAGACTCCAACATTTTCAAGGAATGTTCCTTAGGTAATCAGTGACTTGTGACTTTACACATTACTGACATGCTCAGGTGTCTATATGCCTACTGAACATCTAGACTGACTACAAACAAAAAAATTCTTCCTACTAAGCCAAAAACAAAGTATGCTCTTCTCCGTCATGCATTTTCAGAGTACTGAAATGAATACTCCTTGCTGTGTCTATTCCAACTTAGTCTTTTAAAGAGACTCAATCTTTTCCTGATGCAATCTAAAACCCAGGCTTCATCACCTGCTATCTGATCCCTGATTTAACTCAAAATTATAACCGACTTTTATCAAATTTAGCAACAGCCAATGCCACAAGACCCATTCTTCAGATAGAATTCTTAAGTAAAACTCATCACAAGCATTAATGCATAATTAAGCTAACAATTTACACATGTATTATCAAAAGTATATTTCAAAGAATCCATGGAACAATGCCATTGTCAGATGATTGAGAAAAATAATTTTTGACTCAAATAGGTAATCAAATTTTTCTTATATCTAAAGATACTTGTAACTCAGGAACTGTGTGTGTACATAGCACTACTCCACAAAAGCAACAAATTGCTCAAAAGTCTAGATGCTATCTGGCAACAGTGTATTCCATTCAAAAGAACCAATAATTGTTCAATAAAGTATCTGTCATGAAGTACAGATGAGACAGAAACAAAAAAATGATTAATGAGATGATGAAAACTAATGACCCATTTAACCGATTATCTACCTCAGTAACAGGTTGCTCTTCTTCATCCTAGAGAAGGAAATTATAGACAAGTGGCTAAGTAATTGCAATTAACAAAAAAGTGAAAGATTTGGATTAGTCAGTGAGATAAAAGTCAAAGAGACATGTTATCAATCTAAACCTAATGAAACACCTTCAAGCAGTTTGCATCAGAAATGTGATTTTTTTAATAAAAAGTCACAACCAGGGCATGCAGGAAAACTGTAGTTATTATACAAAAATTCTGTGAATTAGTTTCTAAACCACCAATGATTTGTAGGTGTCCATAGAATCTATTGATCGAACCTCTGTAACTGGCTCTGCTTCTTCATCCTAGTGAAATTATAAATAAGAACACATGGCAGGTAAGTGCAAAAGCACACAACTGCTCAAAAATCATTGCAACACTCATGCCATAGCTTTGCAACTACTCCATTTATCCAAGTATTCTTTTTTCCCTTAGTCATGAAGCCTTTTCTATGTTAACCATGTGTGTTCAGAAAAGAATCTCAAGTCAAAATTCTGCTTTTCTTTAAAAAAAATACAAGCTGGCTTTGGAGGAGAGTTCATACAGATGCAGTAGAGGTAGGAAGTGACAAAGACAATATGTCACATTGATTCTAAAATGTAAAGCCAGAGAGGAAATGGAAAGAGAATGCAATCAAAGTCAAGAAAATCAGAGACAGGGAGGGAAGATTAGACAAAAGTTACCTAATGAAAAATTTGAATTGGCAAGTTCCACTCACCCACCCCGCCAAACCCTTATAGTTTCCTTTCATGACATGTAGAATCACATGCACACGCAGACACATTCATCATTCACAAAATTGTGACGAAATAAAACATATGACTGGTCAAACCTCTATTTCTGGTTCCTTCTCTTCCTTTGTCTGGCAGTGGCATGAAAACAAAAGATGAGATAGGAAAAAAAGAGTAGGGATGAACAAACACCTGCATACGTGTATAGTTAAACCATTGTTTCAAAAACTCATTTTCATTCAAAACAGTTAGGGCTTTTCTACTGAAAGAAAAACAGTTCATTTCCTATGGCATTGCTCAAAGCTATTTTGGAGTAAAGAGACAAAAGGAGAGCCAATGGACATGATCAATTTGGATTTCAAGATGGCCTTTGACATGGTGCCACACAGGAGGCTGCTAAATAAGATAAGAGCCCATGGGGTGTTAGGGGCAAGATACTGGATTAGCTGACTAGCAGAAGGCAGACAGTAGGAATAAGTGGACTTTTTCAGGATGGGTGCTGGTAATTAGGAGTTCTGCAGGGGTCAGTGTTGGGACCACAACTATTCACGTTATGCATTAATAAAGGAACTAGAAGGCATTGTTGCTAAGTTTGCATAAGACTCAAAGATAGATGGAGGGAAGTGGGGAGGCTGCAGAAGTACTTGGACATGCTAGGAGAGTGATAAATAAGTGGCAGATAGAATACAATGTGGACAAGTGTGAGGTTATGCAATCTAGTCAGAAGTATAGGTGTATTTTCTAAACTGAAATCTTAAACGCAAAAGGGAGTTGGGAATCCCAGTTTACGATTCTCTCGAGGTTAACACACATGATCAGTTAGCAATTAGGAAGGCAAATGCAATGTTAGTATTCATTTCAAGAGAGCTAGAATACAACAGCGTGGATGTACTGCTGAGGCTGTGTAAGGCTCTGGACAGACTGCATTTGGAATAATGACAGCAGTTTTGAGCCCTGTATCGAAGGAAGGACGCTGATATTGAGGGGGTCCAGAGGAGGTTTACAAGAATGATCCTGGTGAGAAAGGGCTTGTCATATGAGGAGCAGTTGAGACTTCTGGGTCTGCATTTGATAGAGTTTAGAAGAATGAGGGAGGATTTAATTGAAACTTACAGAATACCGAGAGGCCTGGATAAAGTGGACGTGGAGCAGATGTTTCCACTAGTGAGAGGCTAGGGCCTGAGGGCACAGCCTCAGAGCAAAGGTAAGACCCTTTGGAACCAACAAAGAGGAATTTCTTCAGCCAGATGTGGTTAACTGTGGAACTCATTGCCATAGAAGGCTGTGCAGACCACACTTTTGAGGATATTTAGGACAGAGCTAGATAGGTTCTTGATTAGTAAGGGGATCAAGGGCTACGGAAATGAAGTAGGAAAACAATGTGTTTCTCAACTCCAGATGTGATTAAATGGTGCAGCAGACTCAAATGGTCTGAATAGTCTAATTCTGCTCCTATAACTTTATGTTCTACAACATGCTTAAAATTATTAGATGCAAAGCCCTAATTCACTGTGGGGATACAGTTGAAGCATTGGACCTATTCCCCGATTTTGCCTCTCCTCAGTTAAATGCTATTTTAAAGTCTACCTTTTCCTTACTCTTAATCTTTATTCATTAATGGGATGAGGGCATCGCTGGCTCGGCAGTATTTATTGTCCATCCCTAATTGCCCTGTTGACAATCAACCACATTGCTGTGGGTCTGGAGTCACATGTAGGCAGCCCAGGTAAGGGGGGGCAGATTTCCTTCTCTAAATGACATTAGTGAACCAGAGGGGGTTTTTCCGACAATCGACAACGGATTCATTGTCATCATTAGATTCTTAATTCCAGATCTTTTACTGAATTCAAAGTCCACCATCTGCCGTGGTAGAATTTGAATCGGGGTCCCCAGAATGTTATCTGGGTCTCTGGATTAACAGTCTAGCAATAATACCACTAGGCCATTGCCTGCCAATACTATTCCACTACAGCCTAATGTTCATAAATAGTTTTCAAACAGCTGTCTGTAGAACATTTGAAAATATTTTTCTATATAAAATTGTTGTTTCAGAAATAGTGCAGTACAAACAGTTCACACTAAGTATCACTTTTCTCCCCTACATTTGTCTTCAGGACTTGTCTCCTTAGAAGAAACTGAAATGGACAAAAGCATGAAACTAAAATGTAAAGCATACTTTTTTTTATTACAAATTTGATGACAAGAGGTTTCAAAACACCCTAGATGTTTCGAAGAATTGTATTTGTTAAATAGCAAGATGGAAGTGAGATGAACAAAGATTAACATGTTAGATAATGGATAAATAGCTATGCATACATCCAAATGAAATTCATTCCACAACAGCTGAAAAAGGTGAAGAGTTAATAGAAGCACTCTGTAAATAAATGTATGATAACAGACAGAACAAGCCCTTGCTACAATGAAAAGCTACACAGCCCACCACTATAACACTGATTGGAAATAGTCGAGCCTTGATCTTAAAATAAACCTATGAATTTGGTTAAGGATGAGCACCTAGGGTATTTTTATTGGACAGAGATATTCCTTCATATTTTCACATGGATATGTGATATTACAACCAGGTTATTTCTGGAGGGTTACTGGAAGCAAAACCGGGAGGAATAAGCCACTGTAATGAATGGTGTTTCACCATGTTAAATCTGGAACTGAAAGAGGAGAGGTAGATCTGTCACACTATAACAATTATCCCTGTACAATGCAGCTGGGAATATTCACAAGTGCCTGGATAATTTGGGGTCATTAGGATCATTGACACTAACTGCAGATCTAAAATATCAAATTGATAATGTCAATCAATGACCAGAGAACTTTTTTCACTACCCAAAACAGGGTGTTGTGGATGCCTTTTCAATGTGCAAGGAATCTATTTTGGTAGCTTGGCAAGTTCAAGTCACCAGTAAACCAGGTTGTAACTCAGAATTATCCACAAGGTACAACATACCTTAACTACTATTTTCAGATGACCAAGTTAATGATTAGAGATAGGACAATATGTTATAAAACACACAGTCTCCATGGTCCCCTCTTGCATATCCTACCTCAACTTTAAAATTAAAGAGCAATGTTCATGCTTCTTTCCCAATCCTATCTGAAAATGCTCAAATTGATCGTGCTATCTCGAATTAAAATGATTGCTGAATTGAACATTAGATGGTTATCAAGTGGCATGTACATTATTAGTTTGTCCTGTGAACTGATTTAATTTAAGATAGAAAGTAACATGGAGAATGACATGGTTAAGCCACTCAAATGAAAAATGTAGGACTGTTAATAAATTTGAAAGATTCTCTTACAGTCTCTTCTGGTTCAATTGTTTGATGAACAGATTCCTCATGTTTGTCAGCTTCATTCTCACCAATGTTTTCCTGCACATGCCAATATCAATATTCAAAGGAAAGCAATGTACACAAAATCTAACAGATTCTAAAAGTTCAAATGGAAAACAAACACTAAAAACTGCAAAGTGATTTAAACAAGCAAACGCTGGAGAAAACAAACATGCCGATATTTCAAAGTTAGGACTTATTACCAATTTTAAAAAAAAGTGAAAAGGATGAAAACTAATACTCAGAATATAAGTGTATATGAATGCTAAATGATGACTAAATGGCAGATATTAGCATCATGTCTTTCCTTGATGAAAGGAAAAGAAAATTTCAACCTATGACCCTATTGTCTCAGTCTATTCCTTCCTTCCCACAAAAGAAGGATCAATCAATGTCATATCCACTGCTAATTTTAAAGTGGAGATTGATAGAAATTTGTTAAACAAAATGGTAGAAAACATGCCAGTAGAGTTGGGCTGCAAATCAGCTCTGAGTTCACCAAATAACAAACAGGTTACAAAAACTAAGTGGTCTACATGTGCTCTGTGTATTATGTGCGAGATGTGAGCACAGGAAGTCAACACATATGTTCTTTATTCTGATGTACTTCAGTGCTCCATCATTTTAAATTTTATTTCCAGGAGTTATAAAGCAGGTTGACAAATCTTAAATGCAAAAACAATTAATAGTTAGGAATGGTCATCAGTCAATTTTATCAAAGAATTTAGACAGAAATTTAAATGAATAAAACACGTAACACATGTAATCTGAGCCCCCAAATTAAGATTGGTGCCTTGATGTTCAAATTTGTATAATGGTATACGTATATGTCGATTGAAAGTGAAATGCAAGTGATAGAAATCATATAATCCAACAGCAAAAGTCACATCTTCAGTAAATGTTATGGCCCACACTTAGCATGCTATATCAAAGGTCTGTAAAAAATAAAGTTCAACTAAAAAGGCAGTTATGAAGTATTTAAGTTAAGTATTTAAGTAAATACCTGAGACAGTTTAGGTAACTACATAAAATACCACTAATATTTTGCTCCACTAAATTAAGATATAAATTTGACAATCCAGCATAATGTATTAAATGTATTAATGCAGAACTAATATTTGACAATCCTTCAATCATTTGCTACATCTCCCAAGGAGTTTCATCTCTGCTACTGTCAATTAAGCTGTTAAGATGTATTATTTCTACAAAATGTATGCTTTAAACCTCACATCAAAATGGCAAATTTGAATTTTTAGGTTAAATTCACACTGACCCATTACTGTGCTTGCACTAAATTACTACTTCCATCTCCACATACCATTATAGAAAAGAGGTGTAAAAAAAAGAGCAAGAAAGCATGCACAAAACTTATATCACACACAATAAAAGCAACACAAGCAATGCATAATTACATTTATATCTGTTGACTGTTCAAAATGATTATGCAACATTTCAATATTTTCTTCAGGCTGATCTTCTGCAGCTACAGGCAGCTCATTGCCCTACCAAAGTGAAACATCAAGATGAGGGAAAGCAGTTGCATCATGCAAGTATGTTGTGGACAAGTTTTAGAGGCAGAAAGAATATCGTTGACAGGCAACATTCTTTTCTGTTAACCCAAGCTAAAAAAAGTTAGAGACATAAAAAAAAATGCACTGTGACATAGAAAATACCTGTGATTGGAATTATGTTGGAATTATAAATTGTTGGTGGTAATTACATTAAAAATTATCACAACTTATTTCACATTTCTGTGTGGCTAATGATTTGGTTAAAGCTACTTTTCTTCCGAATTTGAAATGCACATACCTCCTTATTTCTCTAGGATTTTGTTATCCAAGACTAGGTTTGGAGACTGCATTGAAATTACAACCTGGAAACAGGCCAATGGTCTGATTTGCTAATGTTGCTATTTATCTTCTGAGTAAGTAACAGCCTTAATTCTTCTGGTGTGATTTTACACCCATATCCATAAGTTCGGGTTCAAAACAGACTGAGTGGAAGGCAAAGTCAAGAACTGTCACCAGGCTTGGGCTTTTTTTAAAACATTATATATAAAACATTATATACTACAACATGTGGTATTCAGAGAAATCAGCTCTAATCTTACTGTTTACATTATAGAAAGACAATTCCATGAAAGCTATTGCCTAATCTTAATGGATGTATTCTTGATGCTTCTTGAAACCGATTTCTGACATCCACATGGCAAAACTTCAGGCTCCTGTCTAGCTCACCGTATGCTTTCCTCTCTCACTTCTTTAGCCCTACCACACAGTATCTAGTGAGGAGCAGATTTTTACTATCACAAGGTTGTTTCAGGGGCCTAAAGCCCTGGCACAACACATTCTTTGTGGTACTGTTTCCAAATTCCCATTTACCATCTCCACATCTATCCAATGAACTTGTTCCTTTGCCTTCCTGTCCTAAAGTTGAGTGTCCACAGCCTCAAACTCATATGTAAAAAGATTTTCATGCCTCTTTCCCACATCTTCGACATTTAATCTTCATCTCCATATACATTCCCATTAATTCATCAGTTGAAGCTGTAGATTTCTACCTACTCTATTCCTACATAATTTTACACATACCCGCATCAACTTACCCTTTAGTCATCTCTGTTGTATGATAAAGGAAAATCTGTTGGTAGAATTATGGGATCTTGTAGCATAGAAGCACTGAGTATATTGTGGATATGTCATTCTTTTGAAAGAACCATGAAATTACTAATTCATCCATTCTTCCCCCCAGATTTGCATGATTTCCTATTTAAGTATACACCCTATGCTCTTCTGAAAGGTATGACTGAACTTGCTTCCAATAAACTTTTATGCGCATTCCAGATCATAACTTGATGTGAAAATAAACAAACATTGACGAAATGGGAATTTTATGTTTCACCAACTATGTTAAAATTCATATCCTCTAGTTAGCAACCCACTGACAATGGAAACAATTTCTTCTTTAGGAGTTTGAATAGATCCTCTGCTCCATGTGCAACCTCAGCTGCTCCATTCTCTCCATGTAACTGAAGTCCCACATTTTGATATATATTCACTGCAGTCTTTGCAAGTTCTTGACAGGTTTCTGAAAATTACTGGATATATGGATATAATGCCAGTTGAGAGCCAGTGATTTATGACAAGGGTGAGCATAACTTCCTTTCTTTTGTACCCCATCTCTTTTTACAATGCAGAAGATCAGAGTGACCAACTCTTAAATATCTCACATTTTTTAAAATAGTGTATCAGCTTGCTCGGTCACCTTAAACATTGGTGTATTGGTCTCAATGCTCCTATAAACCCTTTGAATGTAGATACTTAATTAATATTCCCTGCACATTCTTCCAACAATCCTTTCCCATTCCTCAGCATTAAATTTCATTGCCATTTCTGTCCATCTCGCCAGTTTATGTCCTCCTGAAGTTGGTTACTGTTCTCTTCATTTTCTTTTTAAAACCACATTTGGAATAGGAATTAAAGCAATTTTATTGTAGAGAAAATCATCTTAATATTTGTTTGCTTGCACATATCCCAATTGCATTAGTATTTAATTCAACAGTCCTGAACTACTCTAGATCTCAGCAGGCCTGATCAGTACCAACTTTTGCAACCTACTTTCACTATCATAGAATGGTTACAGCATAGGAGGGGGCTATTTGATCCGTCACGTATGTCCTAGAACTCTGCAAGAGCAACTCGGCGTAATCCTCACCATTTCCCTGAAAACTGTTTAGACCTTAGAAAATTATCCAAATGTCTTTTGAAAGTCTCCAATATCCTCTCAGGCAGTGTTCTAGGTCCTGACCACTTGCTGCAAACCACCAAACTGCTCCGTGTTATCCATGGACAGGTTCTATATCCCTGTAACATCTCGTTTTCCACCAATGCCTTCACATCCTTCCTACAATCCCACTTGCAAGCATTTGGCCCATATCCCTCTAAACCCTTCCTATTCATATACCCATCCAAATGTCTTTTAAATGCTGTTATTGGACCAGCCTCCTCCGCTTCGTCTGCCAACTCATTCCACACACGCACCATCCTTTGCGTGAAAAAGTTGTCTCTAAGGCCCTTTTTAAATCCTTCTCCTCTCACCATAAATCTATGCCTTCCAGTTTTGGACTCTGCTACCCTGGGGAAAAGACCTTGGCTATTCACCCTATCTGTGCCCCTCATGATCCTATAAACTTCTAGATGATCACCCCTCAGCCTAAGACGCTCCGGGGAAAATAGCCCCAGCCTATTCAGCCTCTTCCCATAGCTCAAACCCTCCAACCTTGGCATCTTTTCTGAACCCTTTCAAGTTTCACAACCTCCTTCCTAAAGGGGGCAAACAAGAATTGAACACAGTATTACAAAAATGTGGCCCAATCTTGTCTGAAAATTTTATTGCTATTCTCTCTGAAGATTGTCTCCACATTTAGTGCTATCAAATTTTGTCCCATAGACTCAAGTTAAAATCATTAATATGCATCAAAAAAAAACTATGCCGGGTTCCTAACATGGATCCTTAGGGAACCACTGTATGCTTTGTTCCAGTATAAAAAGCAACTATTCAATATTCTGTTTCCTGTCACTCACCCATTGACGCATCCATGCTATTATCTTTATACGCCATGGAGTCTTGACAAGTCTGCGATAAGGAACACGTGCACTATTTCATCTGCAATAATTGCATTAATACTCTGTTGCCTATAAAGACTCAGTTTAAATACAATTTGCCCTTGACAAGATTAATTTTGTCTTTCCTCATCAAAGTGACTTAATTTTGTCCTAGATTAGCAAAAAAAAAGTGTTCACACCACTATGGTTAAACTGGTTGCTATGTAGTTGCTGATCTTATCTTTACACAGTTCTTTGCGCAATTGCATTCACAATTCTACATCCTCTTGCACCATTACTGAACCTAAACTGACTAAATTACAAAGTAACATGTCTCCTCTATACTGCTATAAAACATGGCTATAAATATGATCATCGTGAGAAAAATCAAAACTTGTAAAACTGCAAACTGTCAGGCTGCACACTGTTACATTTGGATAAGGTCAGCTTCAAACAACTAAATTAAGAGAGTTACAATTGTGAAACACACCCCAAACTGATTCAGGTTCTGTCCAATTGATATGTGCCAATAAAGTAGTGATTATGCAGCTCCAAGCAGCGGTCTAATCAACAATCCACAGGGCATGCTTCAAAAACACCAAACAAAAACATCAGTTGAATGGGTTAGTTCAGATTATGAGGTAGAGGAGGACAAGAGGGGAAAAACAAACAAAGCTTAGTTACATCTGCTTTATCATTTTCTGGAACTTCACCATTCTGGATGATTGCAGCTTGATGTGCTTCCTGAAGCAGAGCAAAACCAAAAAAAGAGGAAACACAGAATTGCATATAATTAATAAACATGAGGAAATGATTTCAACAAATTCACCACTTCAGATTCAGTGCAATAAAAATGACAAAATTGATATTCACTCAGTTTGAGCATTGGTCATCATCCAGTAAAAGTGTAAGTCTTCATACAGTTCAAAAACCAGATATTGAATTTTCACTGCAACTTTTAAATTCTTCATGTGCTTAAACCTATCACAATACTTCCAATACACTGTATCTGAAATAGTATAATGTGCAAAGAAAACATGAAAGCAAAGATAATCTACATTAGGGAAGTCATTTATCCAGCTGACACTCCAAAAGAAAAATAGCATTTTTACATCTACAATTAACAGGAATTTACAGAGGTTAAAATACAGAATGTGAAGGATTATTTCCAATCTCAAACATAGGGGCACAGATAAGTGGCAGATTATTTAAGACTAAAAATGAGAAATTGCCTCGCTCAAAGTTGTGAATCTTTGGAATTCTGTACCCAAAGGCTTACAGATGTTCTATCAATGATAGAATTCTATCATTGAGATAGACAGGTTATTGGACTCAGGGGATTAAAGGATGTAGGAAGTGGGTGAGAAAGTGGAGTTGAAGTGCTTTGATCATATTGAGATGGAGCAGCTCAACAGGTTATATCATCTGCTCAGTCCTACTTTGTGTTCTTTTATGAATTCCAATGACATTTTGATCTGAATTAATTGTTCAACCTCATTCTGATTATTACATACAAAATAACCAATTAAAATAGCACGCATGCGGAACCTGCTATGGAGGTGGTACAGGACACATTTCTGAAAATTAGTCTCATTGGTATATTACATAAATGACACGAAAGTTTTTATTTTTTCCTGCTACCAAGTGAACTGTATGGAGCATTGCAATTCTCAGTTTAGTGCCATTATGGTTGCTGGTCCAGTGTTTGAACTGGCACTTTGTTGGCAACTCCACTCAGACAGGTCATAAAAATGACTGGTATTTTAAATGGAAATCAATTATACTGGTGCAGAAGATGATTCTCTTCAAGGCTGGGCCTAAGGCCAAGATAGAAAAAGCATACTGCTGCATCCAACTAATCCTGTACTCAAGTGGAAGTAATGATGCTGAGACCACATTCCCTAAAATAAAATAATCATCATAGGCAAACAAGAAGGAAACACATCTGCTGGTTGCACATGCATCTGTCCATGGCAGCATCAGTAAGAATGTTTCCACAAGGACTGTGATCAAAGTCCCGCCTTCATATTGAGAATAACCTCCATCATGTTGCAATGGCACTATCACACCATGCTAAATGGGACATACTTCAAACTGATCTAGCATCTCAAGACTGGGCATCCACAAGGCACTGTACTGTCAACAGCAGCAAAACTGCATTCCAGCACAATCTGCAGATTCATGGCTTGGCATATCCCCCATTCAACCACTACCATCAAGCCTGGGGATCAACCCTGGTTCAGTGGAGGGGGAGGGACATGCCAGCAGCACCAGGCATACCTAAAAATGAGGTATAATCCTGGTCAAGCTACCAAATAGGACTACTTGCGCACCAAGCAGCATAAGAAGCCATTGACAGACAGAGCTAAGCGATCCCATAATCAAAGGATCAAACCTAAGTTCTGCATCCTACTACATTCAGTCTTGAATAATGGTGGACAATTCAACAACTTACTGGAGGAGGAGTAAAATAATTAATGATGGAAGAGACTAACATATCAGTGCAAAAGTTAAGGCTGTAACATTTGCAGCCATCTTCAGTTAGAAGTGCCACGTGGATGATCCAACTCTGCCTCCTCCACTGGTCCCCAGCATCAGTTTTCAGTGAATTCGATTCACTCCACCTGACATCAAGAAATAGTTGAAGGCACTGTACAATGCAAAAGCTATGAGCCATGACAACATACTGGCAATAGTACAGAAGACTTGTGCTCCAGAACTTGCCGTTCCCCTAGCCAAGCTTTTCCTGTACAGTTACAGCACCGGCGTCTACCTGACAATGTGGAAAATTGCCCAGGTATGTCTTGTACACAAAAAACAGGATAAATCTAATCCAGTGAATTATCATCCCATCAGTCTACTCTCAATTATTGGTAAAGCGATGGAAAGTGTCATCAGCGTTATCAAGCAGCACTGACTCAGCAACCACCTGCTGACTTATGCCCAGTTTGTGTCCTGCAATGGCCACTCAGCTCCTGATCAATTCACAGCTTTAATCCAAATATGAACAAAAGAGCTGAATTCCAGAGGCAAGGAGAGAGTGACACCCATTGACATCAAGGCAACAGTTGACCAAACGTGGCAACAAGAATCCCTATCAAGACTGGAAACAATGGGTATCAGGAGGCTGCTGGTTGGAGTCAATTCTGGCACACAGGAAGATGGCTGTGGTTGTTGGAGGTCAGTCACCTCAGCTCCAGGACATCGCTGCAGGAGTTCCTCAGGAGGAGGGTCTCAGGCCCAAACATCTTCAGCTGTTTCATTAAATGACCTTCCCTCCATAAGGTCAGAAGTGAATAGTACAGGATAGTACAGAATAGCCTTGGTCCCATGTACTCCAGTACAGAAGTACAGTGAAAAGTTTTAATAATGGCTGCATTTAATGGCCCTATCTTAGGTACAAGTACCTAGGTACAAATCTTAGAGTAAAAATGAACTGTTGTTACAAAGTACAAAATAATATAGATTACCATGAAACAGTGAAAAAGTCCAGAATGATAATAAGTGACCATAAGTACTCGAGTTGCATTCCATGCCTGCAGGCCCTAGAGCACAAGGTCATGCTGCCTCCATGCAGGACACCTAGGGAGATGTCCAGCACTATTTGCGAGTCCTCAGATACTGTCAGTTCATGTTCAAATGCAACAAGATCTAGACAATGTCCAGTCTTCGGCTGACAAATGGCAAGTAATATTCAAGCCATACAAATGCCAAGAAGTGACCATCTCCAATAAAAAATGATCTAACCACCGCCCCTTGACTTTCAATGGTGTTACCATCACTGAATTACTCACAATTAACATCCTACAAGTTACCATTGACCAGAAACCCAAATAAATACAAACAGTGACTACAAGAGCAGGTCAGAGGCTAGTAACAGTGCAGCGAATAACTCACCTCCTGACTCAAGGCTTGTCCATCATCTACAAGCCACAAGTCAGGTGTGTGATGGAATACTCCTCACTTGCCTGATGGGTGCAGCTCCAACAGCACAAGAAGCTTCCCACCATCCAGGACAAAGCAGGCTGCAAGATTGGCACCATATCCACAAACAGCCATTCCCTCCACTACAAACACGAAGTAGCAGCAGTATATACCATCTGTACAACGCTCTGCAGAAATTTACCAAAGATTCTTAGACAGCACTATCCAAACCCAGGACAGCTTCCTTCTACGAGGACAACGGCAGCAGATACATTAAGAACACCATGACTTACATGATCCCCTCCAAGCCACTCACCATCCTCACTGTCACTGGGTCAAAATCCTGAAATTACCTCCCTAAGGGCATTGTGGATCAACTTACAGCACACTAATTTTTCAGCTGTATCAAACTGGACTACGACCACTCTTGATTTCCACCCCACCAAAACCTTTGTTTGTTTGTAGGATCTGTGCATCATAGTTAAGCCAGCATTTAATTGCCCATCCCTAATTACCTGGAGAAGGTGGCAGTGAACAGCTTTCTTGAACCACTGCAGCCCTGGGAATCGAGAGATACCCACAGTAGTGTTAGGAGGGGAGTTCCAGGACTTGAAATATTTCAAGAAATTTACTTCAAGACAATATTTTCCTTCATATTCTAAGATGCAGTCCATTGTGCAGCTTCCCACCTGAATGTTCATAGAGTCATACAGCGCAGAAATAGACCCTTCAGTCCAACTCCTCCGCATCCAGACATCCTGATCTGACCTAGTCCCACTTGCCAGCATTTGGCCCTTATCCCTCTAAACCCTTCCTATTCATATATCCATCCAGATGCCTTTTAAATGTTGTAATTGTACCTGCTTTCACCACTTCCTCTGGCAGCTTGTTCCATATGTGCACCACCCTCTGCATGAGCAAATTAACCCTCAGGTCCCTTTTAAATCTTTCCCCTCTCATTTTAAACCTACGCCCTCTAGTTTTGGATTCCTCCTCCCTAAGAAAAAGACCTTGGCTATTTACCTCATCCATGCCCCTCATGATCTTCTAAACCTTTATAAGACCACCCCTCAGCCTCTGACGCTCCAGGGCAAAAAGCCCCAGTTTATTCAGTCTTTCCCTGAAACTCAAACCCTGGCAACATCCTTATAAATCTTTTCTGCACCCTCTCAAGTTTATCAACATTCTTCCAATAGAGGGGTGACCAGAATTGTACACAGTATTCTAAAAGTGGCTTAACCAATGTCCTGTACAGCAGCAACATGACATCCCAACTGCTATACTCTGCACTGATCAATAAAAGTGTGCCAGTCGTCTTCACCACCCTGTCTACCTGTGACTCCACTTTCAAAGAACAATGTACCTGCACCCCTAAGTCTCTTTGTTCTGCAACACTCCCCAGGGCCCTACCGTTAACTGTATAAATCCTACCCTGGTTTGCTTTACCAATATACAACACCTCATATTTATCTAAATTAAACTCCATCTGCCACTCCTCAGCCCACTGGCCCATCTGATCAAGGTCCTGTGGTACCCTGAGATAATCTTTTTCACTGTCCACTACACCACCTACTTTGGTGTCATCTGCCTCCTTTATTCACATCCTAATCATTTAAAGAAGTGACAAAACACAGTGGACCCAACACCAATTCTTGTAGCATGCTACTGGTCACAGGCCTCCAGTCCAAAAAAAACGACCCTCCACATCCCCAGCGTTCAAGCCAATTTTATATCCAGTTGTCGAGCTCCCCCTGGATCCCATGTAATCTAAACTTACTAACCAGTCCACCATGTGGAACCTTGTTGAACACTTTGTTGAAGTCCATACAGACAACGTCTACCACTCTGCCTTCATCATTCTTCTTTGTAAGAGTTTTTTGAAGAGCAATCAAGTTAGTGAGAAACGATTTCCCATGCACAAAACCATGTTGACCATCCCTAATCGGTCCTTGCGTTTCCAAATGCTTGTAAACTCTGTCCCTCCAGCAACTTACCCACCACTGACATAAGGCTCACCAGTCTAAAGTTCCCCGGTTTTCCTTACAGCCTTTCTTAAATAACGGCACCACATTCGTCAACCTCCAGGATTCCAGCAAATCACACATGACAAATATCTTAGCAAGGGGCCCAGAAATCTCTTCTCTAGTTTTCCACAAAGTTCTGGAAACCACACTCAAATTTCAATTTGACTCCTCCTGGTCCAAAGTGAGGCAATGACCAGCTCAAATGGACATCAAAACTTGACCAACAACGCAATCAACATTGTTCAGTAATGAACATCAACAACTCTCAGACAATTAACAATCACAACTGAACTGGACCAGTCACATCAACAATCTACAAGAGTCAGGCAGAAATTGGCTATTTTGTATCCTGACCCCGAAAGGTTTTGCCACTGCCAGAGAGTCAGACAGCTTTGGTCAAACTTGACCATGATAACCAGGTTTCCTAAACTAAACTAGTCCCATTTGCCAGTGTTTGGTCCGTATCCCTCCAAATCTTTCCTATTCATGTACCCATCCAAATATCTTTTAAATGTTGTAATTGTACCTACCCCTAACACCTCCTCTGGCAGTTCATTCCGCATATGCACCACCCTCAGCTCCCTTTTAAATCTTTCCCACTCACCTTAAACCTATGCCTTCTAGTTTGGTTCAGCTCAAGTCACAATGGTGATGAAACATTAACCATTCATCTGATGAATGCAGCCTCAACAGCACACACAGAATTTAGTACAGAGAGGACAGGCTGGTCTGTCTTTCTACGATTGGATTCAATATTGTCTCCTCCCTCTTGTCTTTGACACGTTGCAGTTGCAACATTCACAAGCTAGAGGATATGATACATTGCCTGAACACAATCACTGGTTGAGAATACCAGCATTGCATAAATCTAATCCATACGTAAATTACACCATTCATCTAGTTGAATCAACATCCTAGAAATTCCTACACCATGCACTTGTGGGAACAACTCTGCATCTCTCACATCATGACTAACTCACCTCCTGGACTCCCAAAGCCTGTCCACCATCTACAAGGCACAAGTCAGGAGTATTATGGAATACCCACCACTTGCCTGGATGGGTGCAGGAACAACATTCAAGAAGCCTGACACCATCCTGGGCAAAGTAGCCCAATGATTGGCACCATATCCACAAAGATCCACTTGCTCTACCACCAATGCTCAGTAGCAGCAGTGTGTACCATCTACAAGACGAACTGCAGAAATTCACCAAAGGTCCTCGGATAGTTCCTTCCAAACTCATGACCACTTCCATCTAAAAGGACAAGGGCAGCAGATACATGGGAATACTACCGTCTGCAAGTCCCCCTCCAAGCCATTCGTTAGCCTGACCTGGAATTACATTGTCACTGGGTCAAAATCTTGAAATTCCCTCCCTAACAGCATTGCAGGTCAACTTGCAGCAAATGGACTGCAGTGGTTCAAGTAGGCAGCTCACTGCCACATTCTCAAGGTCATCCAGGGACAAGCAATAAATGCTGGCCAATAAGTGATGACCACATCCCACAAGTGAATAAATAAATCATCTATACACTCCCCTCAAAATCACACGCAATCCCGACTTAGAACTATGTTGTTGTTTCTTAACCATCGCTGGGTCAAAGTCCTGAAATTCCCTCCCCAACACCTCTTTGGGTGTGTGTCTCTACACCACATGGACTACGGCAGATCAGGAAAACAGCTCACTACCACTATCATCTCAAACAGGATTTAGGATGGGCATATAAATGCTGACTTAGGCAGAAATGTCCACATTCCATGAAGTTGTATTGTGTAATTCCTTTCTGACTGACAGAAAAAAAGTAATTGATTGAAATAGTACACGTGGATAAAAGACAACACCAGCAAGGCAACTGAACATCACCATCAAATGTAGTCTTGGTGACATTTTCCACATCTGGGAAGTGAACAAAAAAATAAAGAAAGCCATTCCTGTTCCTAAAGACCTTTGGTTAGCACGAGGCACTTATTTTTATCTTCTATAGAGTTCGACATACTAAGTATTTGGCAGAGTATTCAACTTCACAATAGCCCAAGAAAGGTTCGCAGAGAGATTTCTTCACATCAGTCAGTTTATTTATACTGATAAATCTCAAGGTTCAAGGACTTGTCCTAGGCCACTATTCTCCTCAATCCCTGAAGACTGTTTGAATTAAGGTAAACATTATTAACAATAAGTTGTACATTCATTTCCACACAGTTTTATGACATTAAGTAGGCATTTTTTTTTAAAAAAGTTGAGTGCAATTCAGTGTATAGTATGAGGGTTTACCTTTGAACCAGGAGGAGGATCCAGACCAAGAAATGCATAAACTCCATTGTCTTCCTTGGCATTGAAGAAAGCTTCGAAGTCCTACAGTATCAAAATGATCAATGGCTTAGAAATTTGTGATGTGTTTGTAACGCATCAACAATGCTCCTTTTAAATACTATTGGAAATATCAACACAACATCATTACAATAAGACCTGATGTGCAAGTCCCAGGATGAGTTATAAGCAGGGACTCCCTTGTCAGCCTTCCACAAGGACCATTTCCTCCTGACACACTGGTCCACTGCTCCTTCACTCCCAACAAGTCCCCACAGCCCCACCGTACCTTGCCCTGCAATCAAAGAAGGTATAGCAATTGCCCATTTACTTCCTCCCTCCCCCCTATCCAAAGGTATCAAACACACCTTCCAGGTGAAGCAGTGCTTTACCCGCACTTCACTGAAATCTAGTCTACAGTATTTGCTACTCATAGTGTGGCCTCCTCTACGTTGGGGAAACAACGCGCAGACTGGGTGACCACTTTGCAGTACACCTACATTCTGTCCACAAAAAAGACCCTAAGCTTCCAGTTGGCTGCCACCTCAACACCACCTTGTTCCCTAGCCAGCATCTGTGTCTCAGGCTTGCTACAGTGCTCCAGCAAAGCTCAGTGCATGCTGGAAGGACAGCACCTCATTTTCTGCTGGGGAACTTTGCGGCCTTCTGGACTTGAAGTGGAGTTCAACAATGTTAGGGCTTGAACACCTTTGCCCATGCTTACGCCCACCCCAACATACCAGGTCTTGTCTTCACATGGGCTGCTACCATGCACTACCCATTGTAAGTCACTAATAGACCCCTTTGGCAGCTTTTCATTCCCAAACTGACCTTTAACCACTCTTTTGTCTAACTTTTTCTGTCTCTTTGGGCTCCACCTCCATGTATCGTTTACAACCCCGTTCCCATCTTCTTCATAAAAACCATCCTTTTCCTAGCTACTATCAGCTCTGAAGCAGGAAGGGTAACTGGATCTGAAACATTAACTCTGTTTTCTCTCCAAAAGATGCCGACAGACCTGCTGAGATTTTCCAGCAATTTCTGGTTTTGATCTAGGGACATGGGTTCAAATTCCAACATGGCACATGAATTTGAATTCAATTAAAAAGCCTGCAAGCTAGCCTATTTGTGACCATGTACCACTGTTGATTGACATAAAAACACAAATGTCTTTTAGGGATGGAAATATGCCATCATTACATGGTTTCGCCTACACATGACTCCAGACCCACAGCAATATGGGTGACTCTTAAAGGATGGGTAACAAATGCTGGCCTAGCCAGCTATCCCAAGTCCCATATTAAAAGAAAGTGGAAAACCAGAAAATCATACTGCTTTATTCGTTTAATCTTAACCTTTTGTTCAATTTGTTTTTCTACAGAATATTGCCCAATTTCATGTAACCAGATGAAAACTGCCAAAAAACAGCAAATGGCATAAAATGCCATATCTTTGAAAGGCTGGCTTAGACCTGGATGTTTCGGGGGTGATCCATGGAATAAGTTTTAATGTTGGACTTGCCAAGGGAGACGCAATACTTGAAATGACTATTCTTTTACCCAACTTAGTAACGAGGACTGCCTCTCATAACGACAAGACGACCGGGCTGCAGTTTCCATTTTTAGGTATTTTTTCAGGAAATTTCCACCCAGTTGTAACTATCACGCTTCAACACTAAACATTCAATGTATAAAATGAATAAATTTAAGCAGTAATATAGCATTACAATTGTGCTTCTTACAAATGAGAGGTATGCAATAATAACATCATAACACCACTAAAACTCATCACAGACTACTCTTGCATTATAGAGCGATGACTGGCAGGGAGTTTAACCTGAGGATCATCAGAAAAAACAGAGAAGGCAAGGTCCTCACATGGTGACTTCAGCCAGAACAAGATATGAACCTGAGCTGTCAGTGTCATCGCATTGCAAACCAGCCAACTGAACAAACTGACATCCCACAGAGATTTTACAATTATAAAGCGAACAGATCACACTATTCTTATTTGGAGTCAAGGCATTAAAAATTAACAAAGACACACAACAGACTCCTACACACCATCACTTCATTCACGTCAAATGCACTCGCAGGGTGCTATCAGTTATCTTTTCAGTTAGTTATCAAGATAGCTGAAGAAAAGGACAGGCCACAAGCAGAGGTCCAGGAATGGTGTGCTTTATGGCATCAATTTGCCCCTCTTGAGCAGTGAAGACATGGTTTATATAGTTTGTACAATGAGATTCAATAAAGATGCAAGCAAAGGTAGTTTAATAACTTGGCTCAGGGATAAATGTAAACGAAAAGGCATCACATTTAAGAGATGAGGGTGGAAGAACAAACTCCTAAGAATTTAAAACAGAGGAAGTAAAGAAAACTAAATAAAAAAAAAAACCACTTACCCCACAATACAGTTCATCGTTGAAAATTTGTGGAGGGAGGGGAATGCCATTTTGTGGGCGTTTTTCTCCTGGAACATTTTCCCGCATCCATTTTCTGTTATCTTCATTTGCTGCTATATCCAGTTCTTTAAAATCAATTTTGTTGGCTTCTAGAAAACCCAGAACATCCTGTTGTTTTTTCTTGATCTGTGAACAAGATCACTGTTGAGTTGTGCACGTAAGCCCAAGTGAGGCAATAAATAAAGCAGAGGAAGAACAGGTCACACAGTCCTTTTGTAATTTCAAATACTAATCTCTGCAAGTACTTACAATGTAAACACAAGGATTCTATGAACAGTTTATGACTGGATCGCCACTCCTTCTCTAAGCACAGTTAAGAATTTACAAAATGTTCATGTAGATGGTAAATGAGGCAGCATTAAAAAGGACAGTAGATGCATATTTCAAATTACCTAAAATGCTCGGTTTGGTAGTTGCCAAGGGGATGGGGTATTGGATTTTTCCTGCAAGTAAACCTATTATTATCAGGTCTGCCTTCCAGTCAGATGGAAAGCATTCCAAATTAAGGAGCTTCAGCTAAGGAGCCTTTACAAAGCAAAAAAGGACCAGGAAAGAGACAGCAAGTTGATTATTGTCTGCCTGAGTTAGACAAGTGAGGAGCTAAGGAGCCCCAAAATGTCCGAACGGAAATTTTCTTTTTCCTCGATTTGTATCAGTTACAGTATTGTACTTAAATCTCCCAAACCTGGGCCAAACCCTAAATTAATAATTTCCAGACCACTTCACGTCCAGTAGCAGACTTCAAGCGTGCTGATCCAAACAAACGTCACATTCTATAAACAACACAAGCTCTGATCAGATAATCTGAACAGAAACTATTGCCAGTGGAATCAAGGTCAGGTGCTAGGAATTATACATCATTTTATATTCCTGCAATGATCTGATACATTGAAGATCAAAGAAAATATTATCAAAACTTTAGCATGGTAGGAAGATGGGTAGTTAAAAAAAGGAAAAAAAAAAATTGTAAATTAATTGTATCAGAGAGACTAAGAAAAAATATAAAATCAACAGTTAAAAATAATAGATACAAAATGGCAATAAATAAGATTTCCAAAGTGGCTCAAACACAAATGGTCACTATTATACAGTAACTTTACAAGGGTTGGGACAATGGAAGAGAGATGAAGTTGTTTATTGTCTGATTTAAGTAGTATGAATTCACAATGCAGATAGCAAATAATTTTGGTCACTATTGTACATTTCAGGAAAAGGGACCGTCGGTTGGAGACACTGGGTACTGCAAAGGCTATGGGTCCTAACAACATTCCAGTAATAGTATTAAAGACTTGTGCTTCAGAACTTGCCACTCTCCTAGGCAAGCTCTTTAGCACAGCTACAACACTGATATCTTACAAAATGGAACATTGCCCAAATATGTCCTATACACACAAAGCAGGACTAATCCAACCCGGCCAAATACTGCCCCATTAGTCTACGCTCAATCATCAGTAAAAATAATGGAGGGTGTCATCAACAGTGCTACATTTGCTCAGCAATAACCTGCTCAGTGACGCCCTGTTTGGATTCTACCAGGGCCACTCAGCTCCTGACTTCAATACAGACTTGGTTCAACATCAACCAACGAGTTGAATTACAGAGGGGAGGAGAGACATCAAGGCCACATTCGACTGAGTGTGAAATCAAGGACTCCTAGCAAAACTGAAATCAATGAGTGAGTATCAGGGGCAGACTCTCCACTGGTTGGAGTCATACCTGGCACATAGGAAGGTGTTTGTGGTTGTTGAAGGTCAGTCATCTCAGCTCCAGGGCAACTCTACAAGAGTTCCTCAAGGGAGTGTCCTAGGTCCAACCATCTCCTGTTCTTCAGTGATATTTCCCCATCATAAAAGTCAGAAGTAGGGATGTTTGCCGATGATTACACAATGTTCAGCACCATTCATGATTCCTCAGATACCGAAGCAGTCCATGTTCAAATACAAACAAGATCTGGACAATACCCAGGCTTGAGCTGACAAGTGACAAGTAACATTCACACTACACAAATGCCAGGCAACGACCATCACCAACAAGAGCCAAATCTGACCACTGCCCCTCGACATTCAATGGTGTTACCATCATCGAATACCACTACTAACATTATTCTTAGAGTTACTTTTGGCCAGAAACTTAACTGGACTTGCCACATAAACACAGTGGCTACAACAGCAGGTCAGTGGCTCGGAGTTCTGTGACGAATTCACGTCCTGACTCCCCAAAACCTGTCCACCATCTACAAAGGTACAAGTCAGGAGTGTGATGAAACACTCCCTGCTTGGCTAGATGGGTGCAGCCACAAACAACACTCAAGAAACTTGACACTATCCAGGACAACGCAGCCCAATGATTGGTACCACATTCACAAAGATCCACTCCCCCCAACCACTGATGCTCAGTAGCAGCAGTGTAAACCATTTACAAGATGAACTACAGAAATTCACCAAAAATCCTCAGATAGCTCCTTCCAAACCCATGACCACTTCCATCTAAAAAGGACACACCATGGAAATATCACACCTGCAAGTTTCCCTCGAAGTCAATCATCATGCTGACTTGGACATATACCACTGTTCCTTCAGTGTCGTTAGGTCAAAATCATGGAATTCACTCCCTAATGGCATTGTGGGTCTACCTGCAGCAAATGGACTGCAGTGGTTCAAGAAGGCAGCTCACCACCATCTTCAAGGGCAACTAAAGACGGACAATAAACGCGCGGCGTGGCTGTCACTGGCAGGTCAAAGAATGAATACTAGTAAATCATGGGCAAAGACAGAAAATCTTTTATGATAACCTCATGTGTAAACTGAACTGTCCTTTTTAATACAGTTATTAGCAACTTCTCATAACATTTTAGTTTAAAAGGACTTTTGAAACTTGAGTGGAGCCTTCATCATGTAACTATTTAGAAGGCCACTGTTTTACACCAATATAGTAAGCAAAATTCCATTTCAACTACAACGATTTCTAATTTTAAAAGTGTTCGGGGATAAAATTATGATATTTATAATTTGACCCAAGACGTGAAATTCCTGTTTGATAACCACCTTGCTCGAACATGTATTTTTATAGATGAAAAGTGAAACAGGCAGTTTTGGTCACCATCACCAACATAAAGATTAAGAAATCTAAGTAAAAGTCAGTGTTGATCATATTCTCATCTGTGAATCAAGATATGAACTAATGATGAGAAAAATGTGCAATGTCACTGCAGTTTTTGCATGCAATACTGAGGGCTGTTATCTAATCACCTCACCTTCAGCAAAATAAAGATTCACACAGTTCAATAGAGAAGCAGAGAGCTTTCATTATGTCCTTTTTGATATACTTCCCTTAATCAACAGGGAACAGCTGATCATTCATCTCAGTGCTGTTTGTACAACCTTACCGCACGCAAAGTAGCTGCATTTACCAAGACAACATTCAGGATTTAAAATTAATTTATTACAAGCAATTCACTTAGGAAAGGTTACTAACATGGGATAAGGCACGGCAACCTTTTCAACTGTCCAGCTTGTTAATAACCTTGATGGCATGCCATCTGCAATAAATTTATGCATAGCACTCACTAGAACTATCAATAGCTAACATAAATGCAGTTTTAGGATCAAATCTCAAAAACTGAGTCTTAATGAATTGGAGTTTCTGTAATATCAGAGTTTTAATGCAAAAAAAGTGAAAACTAACCAATTCACAATTTCATCTCAACATCCCCACCATGGTCATGACATTTTACGTTTTTACTCAACGTTCTTCAACGCACCTCCACATATTTTTAAAACACAGTCTTAAAGATTAACAATGATTCACTAATTCTATATACATTATAAACTGAGGTGTTCTAAACTCAGTTCCCAAACTGGGATGGGCAGGACAGTTTAACTTTGCACACTGGTAATTTGGGTTTACTGGATTTAATAAGGTCACGCAAAAAAAAAAATCTAATTACATGCTCTTGGAATAAACCCAGTCATACTTAGTCATGGTAGACTGCTCTACATTTGCCATCTAATAAATCTTAAACTCTTCACTATTAATTTTTTTACACCTTCAATTTTCTTGGAGCTAAAATTACATTGATTTGCATATTACAGCTATTAAAAAGAGAATCAATTGGCAAATGGAATCCTACTTCATTTTAATTCAGTTCAGAAAAAGCAGATACAGCTGTATCTATGACACAAGAATGCAAGCCCGCTTCTCTCCCTGTAAAGATGGAGCAGATCTACAGCCATCACCAATTGACCTCCTCCCCCTCCCCCACAGCACTGACTGAAACATGAGATTGCCATAATCTGTTCATATGGTTTCTCGGCCTGGACTTTTTGTAGAGTACTTATACATCGATCAGGTACTACATTAGCAAAGAATTAGCAAAGAGGTGAAGGAGTAGCATTAATATCACTGGACTATTGATCAGAGGCCTAAGCTAATGTTTTGGGGATTTAAATCCCATCATAGCAACTAGTGGAATTTGAGTTGAATTGATAAAAGAACCAAACAAAACACTGATGATTGTGCTAAGACTTATCTAGTTCACTTGTGCCCTTTAGGAAAGGAAATATACTTTCTGTGCCTGATCTGGCCTGTAACATGTAACTCCAGGCCACCGGCAGTGTATTTGACTCTTAAATGACCTGTGAAATGGCCTGTTGTATTAAACCTATGACAAAGTCAGTGCTGGTCATATGGACTGCAGCAGTTTATAAAAGCAGCTCACTGTAACCTCCAGCCAATAATGTCTACATCCCATGAATAAATAACTTAAAAAATATACATTGTTAGTCCCATGTGCACTGCTCATGTTATCAAGGTATAGTTTGTGTTAATGTTGTAACAAAGGCTCATACAGTTTTGGAAGTTTTGCTGCACAGAAATATTTATCTTGTACAAGATACTAAGCTTTAACAATGTATGAAGAAGCAACAGTTAAAAAAGCTAATTGTTGTTTCTTCACTCTAAATTGACCTGGATTGAAATGAGACTCTCTACCTTTCAGTCAGACAATGGCAGCACATTTTATTCTGCACAAAATCTATTCCAGTGGTGTCAGCCCTTAATGGATGCTACATAAAGTAATGATACAAACAGGCTAATCAGAGCTTAGCTGAAGCTCTGCCCATTCTGAC